ACACAGACACACAAAGTATAAAGTACTGTTTGAAGTCAGGTTTTACCATTAATTCTCATAGTACACCTCATTAAGGATAGAGGTCCAACATGGGGAGTAAGTGCACAGTGACTCCTGTTGTTGATTTAACAACTGACACTCTTATTTTTGACGTCAGTGACCACCCGAGGCTCTTGACATGAGTTGCCAAGGCTATGGAAGCCTTTAGTTCACGTGTTTTAAAGGATCACTTAATACCACTAAGTGGCATCTTCTCTCCAGCCTTAGTCTTATAAAGGATGTGACTACAAAGATACAGTAAAAGCAAAGCAAAATCACTTGGTGGTCTGGATGTGCTAATTTATAGCTTATATGCCATAATTATTTAGTACTATTTTTCTTAACATTTTATCGTTCTGGTCAAGTCTCTTTGGTGATTTTTTCTGAATTACCCACATAAGAGAAAGAAAAATCAAAGATGCTTCTCGTTAGTGGTACAATGATTCAGTCATACAAATAACACTTCTAAAATCACTTGGTTAATTTACGACATGGCTGAATCATATCTTAATACTCTCATTCCATTCGCCCTCTGGATACTGAGGTGTATCCTGTTATCAGTTAATGGTCTCTTAGGCCTATCAGGGGTAATGTAGTTTTTTTTTTTTTTTAAAGATTTATTTATTTATTTACTTGAAAGGCAGAGTTACAGAGAGTCAGAGAGAGAGAGGTCTTCCCTCCGCTGGTTCACTCCCCAGATGGCTGCAATGGCTGGAGCTGAGCTGATCTGAAGCCAGGAGCCAGGAACCAGGAGCTTCTTCCAGGTTTCCCATGCGAGTACAGGAGCCCAAGGACTTGGGCCATCTTCTACTGCTTTCCCAGGCCATAGCAGAGAGCTGGATGGGAAGTGGAGCTGCCAGAACTCGAACCGGTGCCATATGGGATGCCGGCAGTGCAGGCGGTGCCTTTACCGGCTATGCCACAGCACTGGCCCCCAAGGCAGATTTTTAATGAGCTGCTCCAGATTATCAAGATTCTCCTCATTGATCTCTCTTTTCATTTGAATGTATGGAACGGTGCTAACTGATACGCAACACACACCTTGCGTCTGTGGCTGTTTCTCACTGTTGTATCCCCAGCATCCAATGGAGTGACTTACATATTGGAAGCTCTCAGTGTCTGCTGAAAGAATGTGACTCAGCCATGTCAGGAAAAACTGATAGGTTGTTAGAAGCAGATGCCAGAAGGCAAAGGGGGAAAAAAAAAATAACAGGATCCCATGGCATTCCAAGAAAGAAAACTTGGAGAATTTGGTCTTCCAGGACATGAATACAAGAATCTGATATGACCTCAAGCAAGATGAAGAGACAGAATAACTTTCAAAGAGAGAGAGAGAATGAGAAGTCACAGCCTAGGAGAAAACACCTTTCAAAAGACTGTTATCCAAAATATATAAAGAACACTTAAAACTCAACAATAAGAAAATGAATGCCCTAATTTAGGACAGGCAAAAGACCTGAAAAGCCATCTGACCAAAGATGTACAGATCCCAAACAAGCATATACAAAGATCCTCAATATCATATGTCACTAAGGACTGCAAATTAGAACAGTGGGGTATCACCACATGCGTTGTCATCATCCAGAACACCAGTACCACCAAATGCTGATGAGAATGTACAGCAACAGTAAGACATTTGTGGCTGATAGGAATGCAAAATGATTCAGCCACTTGGGAAGACATTTTAGTAGTCTCATGAAATACAAAACACTCTTATCATATAATCCAGCCATCAGACTCCTTGCTATTTACCTAAATGAGATGCAAAGCTGCACACAGATGTTTATAGCTGCTTTATTTATTAAATGTCAAAACCTGGAAGCAACCAAGGCATCCTTTAGGAGCTGAGTGGATAAATTGTGCTACATCCAGACAGTGGAATATTATTCAGCATTAAGAATAAGCTGGGGCCGGCGCTGTGGCTTAGCTGGTAAAGGCACCGCCTGCAGTCCCAGCATCCCATAAGGGCGCCGGTTTGAGTCCCGGCTGCTCCACTTCCGATCCAGCTCTCTGCTGTGGCCCGGGAAAGTGACAGAAGATGGCCCAAGTGCGTGGGTCCCTGCACCCACGTGGGAGACCCGGAAGAAGCTACAGGCTCCTGGCTTCGGATTGGCACGGCTCTGGCTGTTGGGGCTATTTGGGGAGTGAACCAGAGGATGGAAGCCCTCTCTCTTTCTCTGCCTCTCCTTCTTTCTGTTTAACTCTGACTTTCAAATAAATAAATAAATCTTTTAAAAAATTAGTCTGTAAAGGTTACATACTATAGGCTGTCAACTATGACATTCTGGGAAAGGCCAAACTGTGGATGGCAGACAAAATTAGGGGATGAATAGAATACTTTCACAGGGCAGCTCCCTGCTAATGCACCTGGGAAAGCAGCAGCAAATGGCCCTTGGACCCACATGGAAGACCTGAAAGAAGCTCCTGGCTCCTGGCTTCAGCCTGGTCCAGCCCAAGCTGTTGTGGCCACTTGGGGAGTTAACCTTTCAGGAAGATATTGGGAAAATAATTAAACGTGAAACACAGGGATAAAATGTTTAAGTTTTGGTTTTATTCATTTGAAATAGAGGTAAGAGAGACAATCTTCCATGTGTTGGTTCACTCCCCAGATGTCCACATTAGCCCAGGTTTGGTCAGGTTGAAGCTGGGAATCCAGAACTGCATCGGGCTTCCACGGGTGGTAGGGACCCAAGTGCTTGTGCCGAGACCTGGTGCCTCCCAGCGTCTGCATTAGTAGGAAGCTGGATTGAAGCAGTGGAGGGATCTGGACCCAGGCACTTCAGTAGGGAACACAGGTGTCCAAAGCAGCGTCTGTAGCACTGCATCACAATGCCCTCCCAGAAAACATTTTCTACAAAGAAAACCAGAGTTGATTCCAAACTTGCAGATTTGGGGGGTGGCACATGTAATTTGCCAAACTTCTTCACACTGTTGTCAACGACTCATTCTCCTTAGGAAAATTCTTCAGGCTAGATTTACACTAGGGCATGTCTCAAACACTAGGTTTCATTTAGTGACATCACCACTCACTGCCTTTTATTAATACCTTACAGGGACACATCAGGTTTTGATAATTTACACATTAAAATATTAAAATCCAAGAACACCAACTTGCCAGGATTATAAAGCTGGTAAATCCAATGGCCAAAATTCATTCTAAAATCTGCCATAATCCAAAACCCAGTCAGTATTCTTTCCATGATACTATGCTGGCAAGTTATTTTGAAGAACCTTAATTCCTCCCTGAAAGACATTTCTTATAAAGCTACTGACAACATGATATTTCTTTTTAAAGATTTATTTATTTAAAAGAGTTAAAGAGGAGAGAGAGAGAATCTTCTACCTGCTGGTTCACTCCCCAAATGACAACAATAACCAGGGCTGGGCCAGACCACAGCCAGGAACCAAGAGCTTCTTTCAGGTCTCCCATGTGGGTGCAAGGGTCCAAGGGCCCTAGCACTCAGGCCATCTCTTGCTGCTTTCCAAAGTGCATTAGCAGGAGGCTGGTTCAGAAGTGGATCAGCCGGACTTGAACCGGCACCCATGTGGGATGTCAGCAATGCAGGTGGTGGCTTTACCCATTATGCCACAGTGCAGGTCAAAAATCACTTTATTTCTTATAAGCTTCTTCTGTTCCCGCTACCAGCACCAGCATATATTCTCCCATCTCTCTGTTTCTTCTATTTCTTTTTTGACAGGCAAAGTGGACACAGTGAGAGACAGAGAGAAAGGTCTTCCTTTGCCGTTGGTTCACCCTCCAATGGCCGCCGCAGCCGGCACACCGCGCTGATCCGAAGGCAGGAGCCAGGTGCTTCTCCCGGTCTCCCACGGGGTGCAGGGCCCAAGCACTTGGGCCATCCTCCACTGCACTCCCTGGCCACAGCAGAGAGCTGGCCTGGAAGAGGGGCAACTGGGACAGAATCCAGTGCCCTGACCGGGACTAGAACCCGGTGTGCCGGTGCCGCTAGGTGGAGGATTAGCCTATTGAGCCGCGGCGCCGGCCTCTCCCATCTTTTGACAACAGAAGATACCATTCTTCCCCCACTCCTAGTCCAAGTGAGATGGAGGCCCAAGGATATGACTGGTCTGGCTAATCAGCCAATTCCATCCTTTTCTTCAGTGACTTGTCCAGGTGTGATCCCTTAAGAGTCAATTTTGGGCCTTTTGTTTGAAGTGTTATAGAAGACAGTCTTTTGAATATAGGGTAAGATGCAAATCTGGACAGGCTGGGAGTCATCTTCCTGTTCTGAGAGTGTCTAAAAATGCAGCCAACACCGAGGAGGCCAGAGATGCAGAGAGCAGCCAGGGTCTGCTCCTTTTCAGTTACATGAACCACAGGTTGAGCAGCCCTAACCTGCAATGCTCCAAAACCCCAAATATCCCAAATTTTGAAACTTTTTGAGCACCATTTTCAGACTAGGGAGGCTCAAATGGTAGTCTATGCAAATATTCTAGAATTTTAAAAACTGAAATCTGAAACACTTCTGGTCCCAAAGATTTCAGATAAAGGATATTCAGCTTGTATAAATTTATAGGGTAGGGAAATATAAAAAAAGGATGAGGTGGGTTTCATGTCTTTGGCAACCCAAAATAATGTGTTTCCTCTCTTTATTGATTTAAAAAATGTACATTTCAATATTGCTGGTGGGATTGTAAAATGATGCAACTACTTTGGAAAAAAGAATTTCACAAAATATTAAACATGGTGTAACATGAGTTATGACTCAGCAACTCTGCTCTTATGAATTGAAGTGTATGTCCACACAAAACCTTCTACGTGAATATCACAGCAACATTATTCATAATAGCTGAAAAGTGGAATTCTACCAACTGATGAATGGATAAACAAAATGTGGTATATCCATACAATGGAACAGTATTTGGCAATAAAGTGAAATGAAGTACTTCTATAACACAATGATACATGTGAGAACATTAGGCTAAGTATAAGAAGCCAGTCATAAAAGGCTATATGTTGTTTTATTCCATTTATATAAAATGTCCAGAAGAGGTAAACCATAGAGATAGAAAGTAGATTAGTAGGGTCTGGGGTGTAGAATAGGGATTAACTGTGTAAAAGGTTTCTGTGTGGCGAAATGAAAATATTCTCAACAATTAGCTGAAATCATCACACAACTCTGTAAATATGCTGAAAATTACTCAACTGTATACTTTAAATTAGTGAATTGTGTAATGTGTGAATTAAATGGCAATAAAGCTGCTTTATATCTATAGTTTGAAAATTTTAATTATAATTAAACTTTACTAAAAATATAAATTTAGAATACATGAAAGATTTCAATTATGAGTCTAAATTGTCTTATATACAATGCTTTACAATAACATTCTTCAATGAGAATTTAAAAATCTCAAGGAAATATTACAAAGGAACAAAAAATAACAAGGGTAAAATGACACTTCAGATAGTACATGAGACATAATTAATTTTTCCATTAAGTTTAGCTAAACAAGTATACAGTTATATTTTTAATTAATTAATTTATGAGGCAGAGAGACAGAGAGCTCCCATTTGCTGGTTCACTCCCTGAATGACTCGAACAACTAGGGCTGGATGGGTCAAAGCCAGGAGCCAGGACCACAGCCTAGGTCTCCCTCACCGGTGGCAAGGACCCAACTCTGGAGCCATTACGTGCTGCCTCCCAACTTAACCACTAGGTGAAATGCTCACCTCATATAGTAACATTTAAATAGATTCATTTGCTTTGTACAAAAGAAACACCCTAACACAGTAGAGTTCTCATAACGCCTTGGCAAACACCAATTTGATGTTCTAGGATTTTAATGTGTTGTTAACAAATTTTCAAACTCAGGCAAGTTTGGAAATGTCTTCATACTGAATTCCTTCAACTCTTCGTCCTTTTAAAGGTCCCTATAAATGACAATAATTTGAGAAAAGATTAAAAATACATCTGTAGCTTTTTAAAAGATAAGAAAATGATGCTACACTTAGGGATACAAATTTACCTTTTCCACATTCCTAAAATACCATTACGGTAACTAACATTTCCATATGCTAATGAAACGTGTTATCATTGGATACCTCAGTGCAACCTTGCTGGGTCTCCTCTCTGTTGACAGGGTAGATAGCTACATTTCCCAGTTCCCCTTGTGGTTAAGCAGGGCCACAGAAACAATGGCCCAGCCATACTGTCATCTCATATTCATTTCATATTTTAAGAGTGGGAAATGTAGTATTTGTGCCATTATCCATTTGGGGCGCATGGGTAATATCCATACTGTAAGCAATACAGGTATTCAAACACGTTTGTCCACTTCAGCGGTGATTGTCTATGTGATCTGTACTACAGAAAATGATTCCAATTTTAAATATATATTTTTTTCTTCTATTCATATTCAAAAAAAGGAAAGGGGAAAATGATTAATGGGCAGTATCTATCACAAAAGTGGATCATAGCTGGCACCACAGAAGGTAAGAACATGGGCTCAGGACCGGGACAGCCCAAGTTCAAACCCCACCCTCAGTAAGTGACTTAACTTCTCTCTGCTAATCTCCTCTGTGCCCCATTATTCCTGGTTAGGATAAGAGTAGTGGCAATAAAGGTGCTCAGGACAGTAACTGGGACTTAATGAGCATGAACGCACCAATTTTCTAATTAGCAAGTTTGATGAGGAAGAGGGAGAGGTCTCCAACCTCAGACTGAAATTTTATTTTGAAACCTAAGAATCATAACTTTCCTTAAAACTGCTGTATTAAACGCCATACTTGGAAATAAATTCCCACATAAAGTATGACCCGGCTGAAGTTTTCACTGCACTTGAAGGTGCAAAATCAATTACACTCTCTGATAAGAGCTATGAATCTGGAGAATACAAAAGGAGCTAGACATCTGGGTTCAACAGTCAAATAGCTAAAAGGTTGAGGCTGTTTTGGAACAATTTATTAGCTATTAAAAATTTGCTTAATAAATGTGTAAATCTCAAATATGATGACAGCTGACATGAAAGTTAAGACACCAAAAATAACAAAAATAAGAGAAACCACTTGAAAAGTTCGAGTCAATCAAAGATGAGGACATGATAGACATACAGAAATACGCACATACAGATTTCTTTGTTTTAAACAGAAGCAGGCTCAAAAAGAGATGGGGAGAGAGAGGGAGAGAAAGAGGGGAAGAAAGAGGGAGAAAGACACACACACACACACCATATTAGGAGGTGAATTTTCTCTTCCAGAAATACATGTTGCTTTACAATCAACCTGAAAGGCTTTTTATGTGTCTCTATTCATGGGTTCTACCTCAAGACAGCCTTGTAAGCAATTAAAGAATTAGGAAGGAAGATAGAACTGTGAGTTTACTAAGAGTATGAAATTAGCTCTTGAAAATCATACAAACTGTGAACCAAAGCTATTCTTTGGTTCTACTAAAGTATAGGATCTAATATCTGCTCAACAGGGATTGGTTGTCTTTTGTTTCCAGCTTAGATGAAAACATAAAGTGGGACCTGTACTTGGTAGATAATATTATGAAATTAGAGAGTGAAGGCCAATCAATATGTGAAGTAAACATGAGGGAGTTCTCCCAACACCCTGTACCGTGTCAGAGAAAATCGGAGTTTTCCAAATGAATTCATCTCTTGATTGCGTCAGAAACATTTCTCAGTGCCAGGTGAGATTCCCTTTTCCTTTTTTCCCCCTACAGTTTATTAGTGATGGTTTTTAAGTAGTCAGAAACAAAGTTTTTTTTTTTTTTTTGTAATTCACTTAAGTGTAAATTCTCTCAAATAAGGACCTAAGTGGCTTTTCTAGAAAACCTTTCTTAGACTTATATTCTCAAACAAGTCCATAACAAGGTTTAGGGGAAATGAACTCTCTAAGAAAGCACATAAAATATGGCAAGAGTGGGTGATTTCATGGAAACAGTCTAAACTTTAATTAATCTCTCCCAAGGGCTCTCATTCCCCCTGCAAAGACTAAAACTGTACTTGAGATGAGAAAATCTTTCATTTAGGGTAATGAAGATATGTAGAACAGTAATTCAGAGTTGTAAGAAGAGTATTTCCCCCTATGAAGACACTTTGGGCCTCACTCACAGATGAACTATCAATTCTAAATCAATAAATGATTTCATTTATGTCAGAATTCTTTAATTATTTTACTGACCTCTGCCACTTTAAATCCCTTTAAGCAGAGAGAATATTAAAAAGAAAAAAAGTTGATCTCTGTGGATCCTTTCCCATTAACTATACTTCCTCCATTAATTTTCTTCTGCCAAATTGAGTTCTATATTAGCTATGAAATTAAATAAAAAAGGCCAGCACACAAAATTACATATATTGTATAAAGGCTAGAAAGAAAGAGATATTAAAGAGGATTATCACTGGCCTTGGGCAATAAGGGCAATTTTTAGAATTATTTATATCAGATTATGCTGTTTAGATGTTATACATTGAGTATGCATTTTTGTAATCAGAACATAAAATAGTTTAGCAATGGTAAATGTAGGTAGTCGGCTTACAGAGTACAGATTTCCAAACAGGAGAGGAGGCAAACCAAACATCCAAACTCTAAAATAAAACAAAGATCAAGCCAGTAAAAGAACTCCGGCACTTTTTTAAAGCATTTTGAACTTTCTGTCTTTGTGTAAACACTTACTGTTTCAATGACAATAGTAGCTGAAAAAGTCTTTTCATTGATGGATTCCAGGATCCCTTCATTTCCTCTGTAGCCTCCATTTAAAACCAGAATTTTTTTTCCTACAACAGAAAAGAATACAAAACTTAATATGAAGATGTCCTTTTCCCCTCTACCTTGTTACACCAAATGAATGAAAAAACCCCTTCCTTTAGAAGTTCTTGCTCACATAAGAGCTGCAGGATTCTAAAGCACAGTGTGGATGTTGGCTATTCTAACATTAAAAGAGTCCTCATTTGGGGCCAGCGCTATGGTATGGTAGGTTAACCCTCCACCTGTGGCACCAGCATCCTATGTGAGTGCCGATTCAAGTCCTGAATGATCTACTTCTGATCCAGCTCCCCGTTAATGCTCCTGGGAAAGCAGTGGAAGATGACCCAAGTCCTTGGGCCCCTGCATCCATGTGGGAGACCGGAAGGAGCTCCTGGTTCCTGCTTTGGATGGGCCCAGCTCCAGGTGTTGCTGTTATTTGGGGAGTGAACCAGTGGAAAGAAGACCTCTCTCTCTCTCTCTCTCTCTCTTCCTCCCTCTCTCTCTCTGTACCTATGCCTCTCAAACAAATAAACAAATCTTTTTTTTTTTTTAAAAAGAGTCCTCATTTATATTAAAGGAATAGATTTTAATTTTAGAAAGCAAGGAGAATAAGGTCCTTGGAGAAAATATTCAGAGTCCACAAGTAATAAGAGAAAATCTGGCTTATTTTATCTCTTTTTAAAATTCATAAGCTGGCATGGCAGCTTAAAAAATATTTAAACTTATGCTGCCATAGACTAAGCCATTCTAAGTATTTACCTAAGAGAAAAGAAATCATATATCCACACAAAGACTTGTACATGAATGTTCACAGTTTTATTTTTAATAGCACAAAATGGTAAGTAACTCAAACACCCAACAGGTGACTGGATGAAAAAAAAAAAGCCTGCAGTATATCAATAAAATGGCATACTGCCTGGAACAATACACGGTGACAGGCACATGCACAACATGGGGGAATCCAAAACAATTATGCTGAAAGAAGCAAGATAACAAAAATAAATTTTCATGGTTTGATTTTACTGTTAAAAATTTCTAGAAAAATGCAAACTAATCTACACAGACAGAAAGCAGATGGATGGCTGCTTGAGGAAAGAGAGGGGGGAGATTAGACAGAGAAACGAGGGGATATATTCTCTTGATTGTTATGGGTTCAAGGGAGTCATCACAGGTTAAAACTTATCAGACTGTGTATTTTGTATTTGTGTGTGATCTATTGTACATCCATTATACCTTTATAAAGCGAAAACAATTTCCTAATTTATTCTTTTTTTTTTTTTTTAAAGATTTATTTACTTATTTGAAAGGCAGAGTTACAGAGAGGCAGACGCAGAGAGAGAGAGAAAGGTCTTCCATCCACTGGTTCACTTACCAAATGGCCAAATGGCCAGAGCTGGGCCGATCTGATGCCAGGAGTCTGGAGCTTCTTCCGGGTCTCCCATGCAGGTGCAGGGGCCCAAGGCCATTTTCCACTCCCTTTCCAGGTCACAACAGAAAGCTGGATTGGAAGTGGAGCAGCCAGGACTCAAACTGGCGCCCATATGGGAGGCCAGCACTGCAGGCAGTGGTTTCACCTGCTATGCCACGGCGCCAACCTCTCTAAACTATTCTTAAGAAGAGTTTTTTTTAGGGAGAAAAAGAAGAAAAAATATGAAAAGTGGAAGTTCGGAGACTGACCGCATCAATGCACCAGCAGTGATACCACCAGGGCTTTTGAACCAGAGGCAGTACCTAACCAAAAGAGTGTTTTTACTTAGAGATGGGTAAGTAGAACTCAAATAGCAAAGACAGTTAAGTAAGGAAGGGAGAGCAAAATAACAGACTTTTATTTTTATTTCAGTTAGGTAAGACATATATTAGTAATAAACCTAATATTATTGACTTTATCCAAAGATGTCTGTGTTTGGCTTCAAGAAAGAAAAAAGTATTGTAGGTTGGGAAAATTATTCATGCCACAAAACAGCCTGATCAGAGGACTGATAAGCTATTATATAACCAGATGTCAAATGAGGATCATTTATATTGGCAGTTAATATCTCTGAAAAGCTAGCCTATCTATAGCCTACAAGTAATGTGAACAAACCACGGTTTTAAGAATGCAATGGCTCTCAATGTGCGAAAGGATCCACAAACAGATTTACCTGGTGCTGGAATTACTGTCTCTAAATGAGTCTGGTCGAGTTTCAGCTTGTCTCCAGAATCAATCATCTTTACAACAGCTGTATACTTGTCAATTACCTCCTGTCATGTAAAATGAACACTTTTATATTAAAAGAAATAGGTGAACACTCATTTAGAAGGGTGAAAGCAAACAAAATTCCAATCCAAAAGTAAGAACTCCCTCCATGAATGACACTGTATTTCTCAGTCTACGGTTCTTAACAAAGACCTCAATTCAAAGCTAGAGAAGGGGGCCAGCATTGTGATGCTTAGGGATAAACTGCCACCTGGAATGTCCTAGTAGTTTGAGTCCCAGCTGCTCTACTTCCAATCCAGCTACCCGCTAATCTATCTAGGAAGGCAACAGACAACGGCCCAAATGCTTGGCCCTGCCACCCATGTGAGAACAGGATGGATGTCCTGGCTCCTGGTTTTACCTTGGCTCAGAGCTGGCTGATTCAGCCATTTGGGAAATAAACCAGTAGGTGGAAGATCTCCCTCGTTTTCTCTCTCTCTGTTGCTCTTTCAAATAAACACATTAGGAAAAAAAAAAACAAAAACAAAAACAAAAAACTTTCGAGAAAGAAAGTTTAGTTAAGGCTTTCATCTGAAATAAATAAAAGACTGTTGATTTTGGACTAAGAAATTAAGAAATCTAGCAAGAGGGGTAGCTTTGTCTCGCTCTAAGTTGGCAAAGGGTAATTTATGCACATACAAATCTGGGTGCTAGAAAGAAACAGCATTTAGGAAAGGCAACAGAAGAAAAAGGACTCAGTCAGAACAGCCTGAGAGCTAAAAAAAGGTGGTCTCTCAGGAAAACTTGAGAAAGTCCCAAAGAGCAAGGCATGGGTGCTGAGTGTTTTAAGAGATGCCAATTAAATTTCATACATACTATTTGCTCCAGTAAAACAGACCAAAGTTAAGTATAAATTATGGTTGGAAAAGGAATATTTTTCCAACAGTTATGAATTAAGCTTTCATTTTATAGAATATTCAAGAACTTTAAACACTAGGGCTTTAGCTACTTAGACTTGATTATCAAGGAATAAGAGTTTCACTGGATCCCCCACTATCTTCTTTTAAAAAAATAATTCTATTAAAAAACTCAGATTCTCACCTTAACAATACCCTTTTTCTTATGATATTTCTCTCCAAGTTTCTTGGTTATAATTTTCACAATGATTTCCTAGAAAATAACAACAACAAAAACCCAAAGATGAAAGGAAAGATGCATATTATCTTTTCAGTTTTAGTTCTTCCTGCTCAATCATATTCACCAACAACCACAGTAAAATGTAACTGCTCTGCTAAATAAGTAACAACAGAATTCTAAGCTTTCCCAGAATGGGAAGATATTTCCTCAGTAACCCTTTCTACCTTCCTCCTCTTTTTTTCAATATGGTTACCAAAGGGACAAACCTGGGGCTGGTGTTATGGCACAGTATAGTCACAGCTGTGATGCTGGCATTCCACATCAGGAAGCACCAGCTCAAGTTCCGCCTACTCCGATTACAATCCAGCTCCCTGCAAATGAGCCTGGGGAGGCAGCAGAAAATGGCCCAAGTGTTTAGGCCCCTGCCACCCATGTAGGAGACCCAGATGAAGCTCCCAGCTCCTGGCTTCAGACTGGTTCAGCCCTGGCAGTTGTGGCCATCTGGGGAGTGAACCAGCGGATGAAGATCTCTCTCTCTTTCGCTGTCTCTTCCTCTCTCCCAATAATTCTGTCTTTCAAATAAATGTTTTAAAAAAGAAGAAGAAATGTTTCTTACTGTATAAAGAGATAAACCAAGACATGGAACCAAAATTATGAGTTTCTTTATACTCTTGGGATAATGACTAGAAGACCTGAATTGGAACTTTGGACTGCTCTACTTCCATGTCTATTATTAATCTTATTTTTCAAATAAAAAATTTTCAAATAAAAAATTCTGTTGATCGAACTAGCTTTTTTTATATTTATTTTGAAGATTTTATTTATTTATTTGAGAGGTAAAGTTATAGACAGAGAGAAAGGTCTTCCCTCCGTTGGTTCACTTCCCAAATGGCCACAATGGCCGGAGCTGCACCAATCTGAAGCCAGGAGCCACTGAGACTAGAACCCAGCGCCCATATGGGATGCCAGCGCCGCAGATGGAGGATTAACCAAGTGAGCCACGGCGCCGGCCCCAGAAATAATCATCTTTTAAAAGCCATGGTAAGGCTTGCTCCTCTTCCAATCCAGCTCTCTGCTGTGGCCCAGGAAGGCACTGGAGGATGGGCCCTGCACCTGCATGGGAGACCAGGAGGAAGCACCTGGCTCCTGGCTTCAAACCGGCGCAGTGCCGGCCATAGCAGCCATTTGGGGGGTGAACCAACGGAAGGAAGACCTTTCTCTCTGTCTCTCTCTCTCACTGTCTAACTCTGCCTGTAAAATAAAAAATAAAATAAAATAAAATAAAAGCCATGGTAAATGTTAAAATGTTTAATAAGGAATAATAAAAAAGCAATAAAATATGAAGCCTGAGACTGTAAAATTAAAATCTGTTCTTGCCTACAAAATGCCTAAATAGGTATTATTCTAAATTCAACAGGCTGTAAATTAAAAAAGCAATACCTCAGCATTTACAATTTTACCTTTTAAGTTCATTTCTGAAAAACACAGTCTTTTATGTTAAAGCAAAACATGAAAAAAATTCCAGGCTCAAAATCAAGAGGTTCATAAATAAACTCCTCACTGAACTCAAGGAATATTACAGGCTTCTAAACACGCAGTAGTCCTGTAAGCCAGCTGCAATCAACAATTAAAGATCCAACAGAAAGAAATGGCATTCTGAATTATAACTCTATCTATATATAATTTTACAGATTTTGAAATTTACATAAGTTTAGAAATTTGGAAAGATTCAAACGCTATGTAAATCATCACTTACAGGAGATCTAGAACTTAAGAAGCTCCACCTGGATACTTACAGGCTGTAGCCAGTAGTCTGTTCGGGCAGTTCTTTTCTTTTCCTCCTCAATCTACAGAACACACGAAAGACACACTTTACAGAACAACCATAAAATTTGCAAACTCTGATAAATACAAATAAACATTGCTTGTAATTAGTTTTTTATTTTAAAATATATATAATAATGTCAAGTGATCCAAACAAAATCCCTCTCTAGTCACCACTGCACGGTTAGCACTACCTCACTCTCGTTCTGCTTTCTCCCATATAACTGTTAGAAGCTGGTAAACGCATGAAGTTTTCACATAGTAAAAACACACGTAAAAACACATTGGTCTACAGCACGTAGACCAATTTAGCACATCATGGTTACGTATAATCTGATAGCAAAAAGGAGCTTCCCTGTTTGACAATTATAGTAAACTTCCTGAAGGAAAGGGAAGAAAAACACCCTAAGAGAACTATAAATGAGAGTGTGACTAAAGAAAAAATGTTGTTTGGACAGTATGGCTATATATGTCTTTTCTTTCTTAACCCTAAGTACTAACTTTCATTAAGATTCAACAATGTAATTCTTTGGTTGGTTCTACACTTCATTTAATATTTTTCAACTTCCAATTTCAACAAAGAATATTCTAGATGTAGTATGCATTGTGGTGAAAGTAGGGAGATAGGGCTTCCCATTTTATTTTGAATTAAGTTCAAACATTCCCCATCATAGCATGTAAGATTTCTGCAATAAACTTCCTCTACTGCTCTGTCCTCAAGTGCTATCATCTTTTTTTTAAAAAAAAGATTTATTTTATTTATTTGAAAGACAGAGTTACAGAGAGAGGTAGAGACAGAGAGAGAGGTCTTCCATCTGTTGGTTCACTCCCCAGATGGCGGCAATGGCCAGAGCTGCATCGCAGGAGCTTCTTCCGGGTCTCCCATGTGGTTGCAGGGGCCCAAGGACTTGGGCCATCTTCTATTGCTTTCCCAGGCCATAGCAGAGAGCTGGATCGGAAGTGGAGCAGCCGGGACATGAACTGGTGCCCATGTAGGGTACCTGTGCTTCAGGCCAAGGCTTTAACCCACTGCACCACAGTGCCGGCCCCAAGTGCTATCATCTTATGCTTCCTATGCTCTAGTACAAGGGCCTTTCCTTCTGTGCTTAAACTAGCTGAGATATTTCTTGAGATACTTTTCATAATGCAATCCTCATATCTCCTTAGCACTCAGCATTTATTCAATACAGATGCTCCCCAACTTATCACAGGGTCATATCCTGATAAACCCATCATGAGTTGAAAATATTGTAAGTCAAAAAATTTATTTAATACACCTAACATACTAAACATCATAAGTTGGCCTAACCTACTCCAAACATGCTCAGATCACTAACATTAGCCTACAGGTGGGCAAAATCATCTAACACAAAACTTATTTTATAATAAAGTACTGAATATCTCATGTAATTTATTGAACACTGTACTGAAAGTGAAAAAGAGGTGCTTATATAAGCACACTTTTGCACAATCACAAAATTGGAAAATTTTAATTTGAACCATCGTAAGTTGGGAACTGTGCATGTTTATTCATGGATCACCTGCTTCCTGAATGGCTCTCTCATTAGCATGAAAGAGCCATGACAAACATGGACAGTGTTTTTGTCCCTAGTATACAGATCCATAACTTTACCCAAATACTCAGAATGTAACAGTGGCTCAATACTGTTGAATAATGAATTACCACCAATTCATAATGTATTCATCTTGTAAACACTAGAAACTTTCTAAACTGCCATGCATAGCGTGAGATGAGTAACACAGAACCATGCATGGTAATCTCCCACTCCTTCACAACAAAGAAAAAACACGGAGAGACGAGAAATAATTATATTAAAAGAAAAAAAAATTTCTTGTGTTCATATGCCCTTTCTCTGTTTTTCCTCTTTTCTTCTACTTATCTACAAATTCTTTGATAAAGTAAGTCCATGAGTTAGAAGAGAGAACGGAATATTTAGGAGTACACTGAGAACCTTCTATGAGCCAGTGCTATGGTATAGTGGGTTAAAGTCCTGGCCTGCAGTGCCAGTATCCCATATGGATGCCGGTTTGAGTCCCAGCTGCTTCACTTACAATCAAGCTCCCTGCTAATTCACCTGGGAAAGCAGCAGAGGATGGCCCAAGAGCTTGGGCCCCTGCACCCACGGGGGAGACCCAAAACAAGCTCCTGGCTCCTGGCTTTGGACTGGCTCAGCTCCTGGCTTTGGACTGGCTCAGCTCCAGCCATTGCAGCCATTTGGGGAGTCAATCAGCATATGGAAGACTTCTTTCTCTGTGTCTCTACCTCCCTCTTAACTCTTAAAAAAAAAAAAAAAAAGACCTTCTAGTGGCCAGTGCTGTGGTTCTGTGAGTTAAGCTGCTGTTTGCCACACTGGCATCCCATATCGGGGCACTGGTTCAAGTCTGGTTGCTCCAGTTCCAATCCAGCTCCTTGCCAAGGTGCCTGGAAAAGCAGCAGAACATGGCCCAAGCACTTGAACTCTAACCCCTCATGTGGGAGACCCAGATGGAATTCTGGGTTCCTGGATTCCATTGGGGGCAGAAAGAAGATCTGTCTCTCTCTCTCTTACTGTACCTTTCAAATAAATAAATAAATCTGAAAACCAACCCTTCTACAGATTATTCTAGGATACATGGAGGATCTTGATTTCAATTACCTTCTAATTGAATTCTACTAACCATAACATATGGAGAGTTTCAAAAACAGCACTTGAAGCAAGAAAATAAGCCTGTTTGCTCCAGGGTTGCCAACTCTGTTAGGATGGAACTGCACTTAGGTTCCCTTTCCCCAGCCTCATGTGAAAGTTTTTCTGACTTTGTATTCATCTGTATTAATTGGGGCCCACACTGTGACACAGAGGGTAAAGTCACCACCTGCAGTGCTGTCATCCCATTTGGGCGCTGGTTCGAGTCTCAGCTACTTCACTTCCGATCCAGCTCTCTGCTATGGCCTGGGAAAGCAGTAGAAGATGGCCCCAGTCCTTGGGCCCCTGCACCCGTGTGGGAGACCTGGAAGAAGCTCCTGGCTCCTGGCTTTGGATCGGCACAGCCCCGGCTGTGTGGCCAATTGGGGAGTGAACCAGCAGATAAAAGACCTCTCCCTCTCTCTCCCTCCCTCTCTCTCTGCCTCGCCTCTCTCTGTGTAACTCTTTCCAATAAATAAGTAAATCTTTAATAAAAAAAAATCTGATTGAGCTTTTTGGGTTTGAACTACACTCTTCCAGTTGCTAAGGCATCCATAAACAGCCCCTAAACCATACCTCCATGATTTCATCAAGCGCAGATTTCTTTTTCTTCTTTTCTTTGGCCTGAGCTGAGCTCTGGGAAGATTCTTTTCGTTTCACTGCTGCTGCACTCCCTAGTGTCTGCAGTGCACTCGGCCCCAAGGAGCTGATCAACAGAACCATGCTCGTTAATAACAACTATACACAGTCAGATGTTTCACAAAGTGCAAAGTTAACTATACAGGACAAACTCGTTACGTAATTCATAGCAGTTAATCAGGATGATGAAGGGCCTGGGTGCATGTCCTACCGGACTACCAGCAGTAAGAGAACATATAGCCTGTCCTGTCTAATTCCTCGCACTTTCTCCTTATCGTTTCAATTGTGCTACTACAATTCATACAGCCGAAGGATGGTAGCACAGGGTGCGGTGTTGGGCAGGTCAGGGTTTGAGACTATTTCTTTCAGGACCTGGACTGGCTCACTGATCTAAGTCTCAGGTCTTCAACTATAAATGGGGAAAATAGTATGACCCAACTTCTAGCTAGACTGCATGGATTAAATGAAATGTTTTAAAATGATTAGCAATCTAGCACATAACTATCAGTTCTGTTTTTAAAAGCAAAGATCTAAACATGCCACTTACAGAATAAATGACAAATGCTTCAGTGTCAATCTACACTATGAATCACAGGCCCAAGGTACCCACTTATCATTACCCCTGACCAATGATACACACCGGCCATTGTGACCATTTCCCTATGGACGGCTACTGTGTGTTTCAAGACTGAGAATTTGCATATGACTCATTTTATAAATAAAACAGTCTCCCTTTTTATCTCCACTTGTTGAAATTCTTTTTTTTAAGATTTGCATTTATGGGGCTGGCACTGTGGCACAGCAGGTAAAGCCTCCACCTGCAGTGCCAATATCCCATATGGGGCACTGGTTCAAATCCCAGCTACTCCTCTTCTGATCCAGCTCTCTGCTATGGCCTGGAGTAGAAGATGGCCCAAGTCCTTGGGCCTCTGCAACTGTGTGGGGGTCCTGGAAAAAGCTCCTGGCTTCAGATTGGCCCAACTCCAGCAGTTGCAGCCATTTGGGAAATGAGCCAGCAAATGGAAGATCTCTCTCTCTCTCTCTCTGCGTCTGCCTCTCTGTAACTCTGCCTTTTCAATAAATAAATAAATCTTAAAAAAATTTTTTTATTTATTTGTTGGACAGAGTTAGAGAGAGACAGGCAGAGAGATATATTCTACTCAGAGAGAGAGAGAGAAACAGGCAGACAGATAGAGAGAGATATTCTACTCAATGGTTCACTCTCCAAATAGCTGCAATGGCCAGTTCTGGGCCAGGCCAAAGCCAGGAGCCTGGAAACACATCCAGGTCTCCCACATGGGTGCAGGGGTCCAAATACTTGAGCCATCTACCACTACTTTCCCAGGCACATTAGCAGGGAGCTGGATTGGAAATGGAACAGCTGGAACTCGATCTGGCCACTCATATGAGATGCCAGTGTCGCAGGCAGCAGCTTAACCCACTGCGCCATGACACCAGCCCTCTGTTGAAATTCTTTAAGATCCATTCTTCATGAGAATTGAACTTCCATAGCATCTTGTGCCGTGCGTGACATTCCACTTGAAGTATAATCATATCTGCATATGTGACTCGTCTCTTACAGTAAGGTGAGGGGCAGTATTTTTTCCCCTGTAAAAGTAACTTATAATGTACATAAAATAGATACTCTATTAATATTTGCTAACTCAGTCACTCTTATCTGTCTAGTCATTTAATGTGTCATTCACAGAGGATGAAACAAAGGATAAATATTTACATAAAATTACCTTGGAGACAACCAAGAAAAAAAATACAACCAGTAGCAAACACAATAGAATTATTTCCCTTTATTTGGACTTTCAAAAAAATGCATTTATGGTGGTGTTGGATTCATTAGTGCCAGGTTACTCTCAGGACTCATGTTCGGTTTGCAGTCAACTAAAGTCTCCAGTTTTTCTACACAGAGGATTGCACTTGGGGAGCCCCCCACTCTGTCTTTAAAGAAGATGGTTTCTGTGCATATAAATTAAGGCTTTGCCTTTTGGAAAGCTTCACTTACTGGGTCTTTATCCCACAATTCAATCAGAAATTAAATATTATAGTAACCAGGGCACATTATTTACAGCTGTCCCAAACTTGGAAAACATGGTCAATTAACAATTAAAACAAGGGCAAAAGACTTGAACACACATCCCTCCAAGGAAGATACACGAGTGGCCGGTAAGCGTCATGAAAAGATGCTCAACTCTCACTGATCATTAGGCAAATGCAAGTCAAAATCACAACGAAATGCCACTTCACATTAGAAAGAGTGCTATGATTAAAAACACAGAAAATACCAAGTGTTGGCCAAGCTGTGGAGAAACTGGAATCACTCAACATTACTGGAAGGAATGTAAAATCTTGCAGCCAATATAGGAAAATGGTATTATAGTTGCTCAAACAATGAAACACAGGAAAACCATACTGTCCAGTAATTTTACTCATGAGTATATATACACAAGAACTAAAAGTAAGGTTTTGGAACCAATCTGCATACCAGGGTGTAAGTAGTAACATTCACAATAGTCAAAAAGTATTGACCCCAAATGTCCACCAACGGATAAATGGGTGAACATAATGTGGTATGTCCATACAGTAGGGTATTTTTCAGCCTTACATAGAATGAAATTTTGGTACATGCTACAAACATGGAATAACTTTGAAGACATCATGCTAAATGAAAGTAGCCAGGCACAAGCAAGCATATCAGGATTCCACTTGTATGAGGTGCCTAGAGAACAGTCAAACTCATAGAAACAAAAAGTAGAATGGTAGCATTGTTTACAGCTGCTTTCTCACTATGAAAGCAGAATTTAGTGCTTGTGACAAAAACATATGTTCAAAAAAAGTCTGAAAGGGTACAGAATTTCAGTCTGAGCTAATGAAAGTCCTGGAGATGGATGGTGGTTACATAAAAGTGTGGATGTACTTAATCCAACTGCACTGTACATTTAGAAATGGTTAACATGGCCACACACACAAATAAACCTAATGGAAAACTGTCTATGAAGAAATGTATTTAGCATTATCAAATGCATAGAATGCAACAAGCAATGAAGACAAGACGATCAGAACAGCCCAGTAGCATTTCATGTTATAGTGGAAGAACACACTGGAAGGCATTCTAGAAAGCAGGAACAGTAAATGCAAAGGCAAGAAAGATTAAGACCCTTCAGCAGAATCAGGGACTAAAAAGAACTTCATACAGCTAGGGTGTAAAGGGCAGGAGATACCCCAGATCGCAAGGGTCATGTAACAGTATGTAAAAAAAATAAAAAATCAGCTTATAGATACTGGACATGGGGAGACTTTACTTGGAGAATGACATGGTGAGAATGTAAGTTTAGATCTTTCTGCTTGGCATATCAAGGTTCTATCAGAGTGGTGAGAGACTGAGACAGGGTTAATAGGGGTTTAAAATCAAGGCAAGATATGAAGATTAACAGATTGGACGTGGAAGGTACAAGTCTCTGGCACAGCCCTAGATTTCTATTTTCAGTACCCAAGAGAATCTTAGAGCTATGAAAGGAGATGGAGAAATCCAAAAGAAAACAGAAGGGGAATTAAATAGTCCCTCTCAAGCCGTGGAGAAGCTGGGCTTGTTTTAGGTCTCAACATAGCCTCCAATGTCCATTTTGATACTTACATCATTTAGTTCATTCTAAGTTTTAGATATACAAGATATAAAACACCAGGAGAACAAATCCCAACGTCTAAAAAAGTACTCCATAATTCCAGAAAAGAAACATTTAGCTGAGTCATTTAAAGGTGCTAGCTGTGACACTATGTACATATTGATATATGTAATTGAGACAAAATTCACAGAACTTTGATCAAATAAAACTAACATTTTTCCTGATAATGTCAAGGCTTGGCCTAGGAGTACAGCAGGTGAACAGATGCCCCAAAGCTACCACATCCTCACATCCTCACCCCTGGAACTGACAAATATTACTGTATTCGGAAAAAACGGTCTTTTCAAGTGATATGAAAGACCGTAAAATGATATTATCCTTGATTATTATGGCAGGCCCCCAGTGCAATCACCCCTATTTTTTAAGAGGATGGCAGAGGGAGATTTGACATGTGGAAAAATCCACACGCAGAAGAGCAAACACAAAGTTGTTGGTATTGACTGGAGGCACACAACCACAGGCCAAGGAAGGCAGAAGCTAAGAAGAGACAAGGAATAGATTCTCCCCAAGACCTTCTGGATGGAGGGAGCACAACTTTGCAAACACACTGATTTCAGAAGCCAGGCCTCTAGAGACAGATTTTAGTTATTTTAAACTACCCAGCTTGTGATAATTTATGATAGCATCTATAGAAAACTAATACAATACAAGGATGACAGATTTGGGATTCGCTGGAACTACTCTTAACATTGATCTACAACTAGAAATAACAGCCTCAGAATCAGCCCTAAAGGCATTCCGATCTGGCTGAAAAGCCCATGAGAGTATTTCAGGCATGGAAAGCCAAGACACTCAGGCAAAAAAAAAAAAAAAAAAAAAAAAACAACACCTAAATGAAAGATCTCTGTGAGTGAGATCCCAGTGGAAAGAACAGGTCTTCAAAGAAGGAGGTACCTTTCTCTGAAGGGAGGAGAGAACCTCCACTTTGACCATGACCTTGTCTAAACAAGATAAGAGTCGGAGAACTCAAGGGGCTTCCATAGCCTTGGAAACTCATGACTGGAGCATAGGGAGATTACTGATGCCATAGACAGGAGTGTCAATTGGTAAAGTCAACAACAGGAGTCACGTGCACTTACTCCTCATGTAGGATCCCTGTCCTTAATGTGCTGTACATTGAGCGTGAATGCTATAACGAGTACTCAAACAGTATATTTCACTTTGTGTTTCTATGGGGGTGCAAACTGTTGAAATCTTTACTTAATGTATACTAAACTGATCTTCTGTTAAAAAAAAAAAAAGAAGAAGAAATTAGCAATTCCCAACTTGACTCTCACTGGGATTAAACATGACAATAGGTCTGATCTGATTTCATCATCATTTAAAAAATCATCTATTATTTTTCACTTTATGTTTCTGTGTGGGAGCAAACTGTTGAAATCTTTACTTAATGTATGCTAAACTGATCTTCTGTATATAAAGAGAATTGAAAATAAATCCTCATGTGAATGGAAGGGGAGAGGGAATGGGAAAGGGGAGGGTTGCGGGTGGGAGGGACGTTATAGGGGGAAGCCATTGTAATCCATAAGCCGTACTTTGGAAATTTATATTCATTAAATAAAAGTTAAAAAAAAAAAAGATAATGGAGATAAAAGCCTAAGAGTCTAAAACTTGAAGGCATGTGTGTTATGATACAGTTTTGAGTTTGTGTTCCAGGTGGTTATCACACCAACGTTAGTGAATTCTTTCTAAATGTAATACATGCAGAAGCCAATTGACCAATTTCTAATGTAGGTGTTCATTTTGAAATATTTTCATCAAAGTTAGGACATCTGGCAAGTCATTTTCTTAAAAATGTCCATTATTGATTTTGACTTATTTGAAAGGGAGAGCAACAGAGACAGCCAGACAGATGGCAAGATTGTCTACCTGCTGGTTCACAGGTAGAGCCGGGCCAGGCTGAAGCCAGAAGCCAGAACTCCATCAGGGTCTCCCACATGGATGGCAGAGACCCAACAATCTGAGCCACTGTGTGTTGCCTCCAGGTTGTGCATTAGCAGGGAACTGGATCAGAAGCAGAGTTGGGACTCAAAGCCAGGCACTCTAATATGGGAGGCTGGTATCCTAGGCCGGGGCTTAACCTGCTATGCCCTGGTTAAGTCATTTTGAACCTGAGATATAGTGGTAACCCAGCCTACCTGCTTTCATCAATTCTCCTAGCTGCTTATTCAGACATACAAATAAGCACTAGCCTACAAACAAAGCAAAACACAGAGCTTCACATGTAAACTACAACGTAACATAAAAAACATCACCCAGCATAGGACCAAATCCTAGTAGATACTGGTACTTCAATATATTGTCTTATTCATGTTTTTTAACCCCCATAACAAAACTGGATGCATTATCCATCGCAAATAGCAGATAAAAATTTGATGAAAGAATTTATTACAGCTGCAAGAGAAGATAATGTGAAAGGACAGAACTGCCTTACCACATGCTATACCAGGTTTTGGCAAACTATAGCCTCGGGACTAAATCTACCACCTAAAGCCCACCACCTGCTTTTCCAGATAACATTTTATTAGAATACCAATGAACTGAATTCACGTAGTACTGTCTACAGCTGCTTTCTCAATAGGAAAGCAGAGTAAAGTGGAACTGACAAAAACATATGGTCAAAAAAGTGAAATATTTACCATATGGCCCTTTACAGAAACAGCTTGCCAATCCTGCTTTGTACTATGTCATCTAAAAGGGAAGGCAATTATGACTAGTAGTGCATTTACACCACACTGAGTGGTAAGGAGATAGATTGCCAACAGTTTCTATTATCAGAAAATCACATTACAGGGGCTGGCTTTGGGCGTAATGGTTAAAGGTGTGTTGGCGATGCTCACGTACCATGTCAGAGTACCTGGCTCTGAGAACAGGCTGTGCTTCAGATTCTAATTTCCTGCTAGTGTGCACCCTGGGAGGCAGCGTGTGAGGGCTCATCCATGTTAGAGAGCCAGACTGAGTTTCCAGCTGCTGGCTTTAGCCCGTCTATCTCCAGCTATTGTGGGCATCTGGGGACTAAACCACTGGGTGGGCATTGTCTGTCTCTGTGTATCTGTCTATCCAGTCTTTTTTCTAAAGATATTTTTTATTTATTTGAAAGGTAGGGCTACAGAGAGTAAGGGGAGAGACAGAGAGATCTGCCATCCACTGGTTCACTCCCCAAATGGCTAAAACAGCTGGGGTTGGACCAGGCCAAAGCCTGGAGCCAGGAACTTCATCCCATGTGGGTGCTGGGGCCCAAGCACTTGGGGCATCTTCTGCTGCTTTCCCAGGCACGGAAGTGGAGCAGCCGGGACTAGAACCAGCGCCCACATGGGATGGCCGGCACTGCAAGGTGGCAGCTTTACCAGCTACACCACACCTGCTCCTCTCTTGTCTTTCCAAATAAAAAACATAGGGACCGGTACTACTGGTGTAGTAGGCTAAACCTCTGCCTGTGGCACCAGCATCCCACATGGACACCAGATGCTCTCGGATGCTCCTCTTCTGATCCAGCTCCCTGCTAACGCTCCTGGAAAAGCACCAGAGGATGGCCCAAGTGCTTGGGCCCCTGCACTTGTGGCCATGTGGGAAGTGAACCAACGGACGGAAGACCTTTCTCTCTGTCTCTTCCCTCTGTCTGCAACTTTACCTCTTAAATAAATGAATAAATCTTTTAAAAACATGAAAATAAAGAAATATTTTTAAATAATCTTAAAAAAGAAAACAGAAACAGCAAATAAAACAGAAAAATGTACACCATACCTAACATTGAGACTGGGCTAAGTAGGTTATGATAAGAAAATAAATAGCATTAAATGGAGAAGGATTAATGGAGAACCAAAAGGTTCTCTGTGTGAAAGTATTTGATAAAAATGTGCTTCTCAGCACAGAAAACCATCTCAGCACTGTCACATACGAACACTTGCTAAAGAGCAAACAAAACCCCAACCAACCCACAAAACAAACCAATAAAGAAGAAAATTGCAACCAGACAAAAACGATTCACAATACTTGAAAATGTAAGAACAGAGGCCAGTGCTGTGGTGTAGTGGGTTAAACTGCTGCCTTCGACATCAGCATCTCATATGAACACTGGTTAGAATCCCAGCTGCTCCACTTCCAATCCAGCTCCCTACGAATGTGCCTGGGAAAGCAGCAGAGGATGGCCCAAGTGCTTAGGCCCCTGCACCTGCATGGGAGACCAGGAAGAAGCTCCTGGCTCCAGGCTTCGGATCAGCCCACCACTGGCCATTGTGGCCATTTGGGGAGTGAACCAGCGGATGGAGGATCACTCGTTCGTTCTCTCCCTTTCTCTCTCTGTAACTCTGCCTTTCAATTACATAAATAAATAAATCTTTAAAACAGAATGCAGGAATCAAGCCTTTGCAGAAATTCTCAAGTTTCAGGTAAGCTCGTGGAACCCACCTTGGTTTGGAAGACGTTGCTCCTGCTGAAGTGCATGCTCCTTTATTCAAATTGAATGTGACTGGAAGAGAGAGAGTGTTAGCCCATGTGTGCTTCAGGAAAATGCCAACAAACTTGTGCTCAGATACCACGAGGTACTCACATAGGAAGTCACGGACATTTTTAATAAGTGAGAGCTGGGGCTGGGGCTGTGGTGCCAGCATCCCATATGGGCGCCGGTTTGAGACCCGGCTGCTCCTCTTCTGATCCAGCTCTCTGCTATGGCCTGGGAAAGCAGTACAGGATGGCCCAAGTGCTTGGAACCCTGCACCCAAGTGGGAAACCTGGAGGAAGCTCCTGGCTCTTGGCTTCGGATCAGTAAAGCTCCGGCTGTTGCGGCCATCTGGGGAGTGCACCAGCAGTTGGAAGACCTCTCTCTCTCTGTATCTACCTCTCTCTGTAACTCTGTCTTTAAAATAAATATATCTTAAAAAAAATAATAAGTGAGCTAAAAAATGCTCCAATCCAGAGATCAATCTCAGGTTACTATAAAACAGGAGAGGAGAACTGCTTCTCTGCCAAGGGCTATTTGGATATTTATAATATCACTCACAGGCCATACAAAAATCACCAACTTCAAAATTAGCCGGCAATAGATCTACTGAGTTTCGAGTCCCGCCTGGGTTGCTTTGGCAGGGTCAGACCAAATGATTCTGCAGACATTATACGGTGGGGTCAGACATTCCCCATCCCTGCTACAAGGTGTCCTAGGCTGAAGCCTGGAGAGCTAAGAAACAACCTTACGCGTCAACTGCTGAAGAGGACAAGGTCGGCCGCCTTGCTCCTCTGCCCCCAGCTTGCCCGACCAGTCACACTCCAGCTCTGTTTCACTCCCACACCTCTTGCCCACGTGGTTCAGGAGATACAACAGCATCTTCAGCTCTTCAAGCCCATCAACATTATCTCAGTGACTTAAGGTAGACTAAGACGCAGTTCTGGCCAATGACCTCCAAAAGGAAATCCTCTGATGGGAGGAGTGTCTTTCAGGAACTATTTCTTGGATCCTAAGAGGACTCCAGAAAAAATGCTCTCTGCTATCCTCTTGAAAATACTGGGTCTAAATGTGATGGCTGGAGTGCTGGCAGCTACCTTGTGTCTATATGGCATGCAGAACCACTGAACCTCCGGGATTCTTATTATGGCAAGATATTTCTTTATTGTTGAGGTTAAACTTAGGAAATTTTATTACTTGGAGCTGCAGGCATACCACCCAATTCATTAGTATTATTTTCATTGTACCAATGACAACAACGCAACTCAGATAGATTGCTGGTTTTCAGCACAGCCAACACAAAAGCATTATATTAAAGAAAGAAAAATATAAAATTACCTTTCTCTTCATCATTTTCTCTGCTTAATTCCGTGAAAATAGGGACCTCCTAAAAACAAACCAAAAAAATGAAAAAGAGAGGTTCGAAGGTTTCAGTTTGCAGTATATTTACTACCAATATTCAATAGGTCTATATTAGGGCTTGGTACCTGTGATCTAAGATGCACTCTGAGGTGTGATGTCCACACATCATAACTGAGAAATTATATGCCCTGCAAATATTCTTCAAATTACTTTAAAGGGCAAAAAAGTAATTATTCTATACCAAACTGCAGCTTACTTACATTTTTATTTCTGTTACAATTTAAACAAGAAAAAATGAAAACATAAAGCAATAAACTTCAGGAATCTTAGCTACAGAATTATTTTAAAAGTACAATCATTATTAGTAGCTTTAGACCAAACTCAAACAAAACTGCACATAAAATTTACCTCTGCAATGTTAGTCTCGTCATCTCCCATAAGCCTCATTTATTCCATCTCCAAAGCAGAGATAATGTACATATTTAGAATTATGAAAGTGTTAAGTGGCATAATGTACAGAAAACACTTAGCACAGTGCCTGCCTTAAAAAAATACTAATTGTATGGGGCTGGTGCTGTGACGCAGCAGGTTAAAGCCCTGGCCTAAAGCACTGGCATCCCATATGGGCACTGGTTCTAGTCCCAGCTGCTCCTCTTCCGATCCAGCTCTCTGCTATGGCCTGGGAAAGCAGTAGAAGATGGCCCAAGTCCTTGGTCCCCTCCACCCACGTGGGAGACCCGGAAGAAGCTCCTGGCTCCTGATTGGCACAGGTCCAGTCGTTGCGGCTATCTGAGTAGTGAACCAGCAGATGGAAGACCTCTCTCTCTGTCTCTACCGCTCTCTGTAACTCTCTCAAATAAATAAAATAAATCTTAAAAATATATACTAATTGTAGTATTACATAAACATGAATTGTTATTTCTACTAATTTAAAAAGATGCTCTTAAGATCTAACTAAAGGCCAGCGCCGCGGCTCACTAGGCTAATCCTTTGCCTTGCCACGTCGGCATACCGGGTTCTAGTCCCAATTGGGGCGCCGGATTCTGTCCTGGTTGCTCCTCTTCCAGGCCAGCTCTCTGCTGTGGCCAGGGAGTACAGTGGAGGATGGCCCAAGTGCTTGGGCCCTGCACCCACATGGGAGACCAGGAGAAGCACCTGGCTCCTGGCTTCGAATCAGCGCGGTGCGCCGGCCGCAGTGGCTATTGGAGGGTGAGCCAACGGCAAAGGAAGACCTTTCTCTCTCTCTCTCTCTCTCTCTCACTGTCCACTCTGCCTGTCAAAAAATTAAAAAAAAATTTAAAAAATTAAAAATTAAAGAAAAGATCTAACTAAAATGATGTTTCCTTAGGTAACGCCCATACAAGATTTCCCACAGCAAGGCAAAAGAACATAATTTTACTTTTAAAATAATGGATTAAACATGGAATAAGGATGCACTTTTCAGGTTTGCCCTGTCTTTTACAGTAAAGTTATGTTTATACCCAAACAGCACAAACTAATATGAAGGTTTTGCCAGCGCTAAGCTAAAACATAACCAAGCAATATTATTCCAAAAAGTAAACTATTTTCTTCTGAACAAGTAGTTATCTTTCTTAATTTTTCTTTTTCTTTTTTTTTTTTTTTTTTTGACAGGTAGAGTTATAGACAGTGAGAGAGAGAGACAGAGAAGAAAGTCTTCCTTCTGTTGGTTCACTCCCCAAATGGCTGCTATGGCCGGCACTGTGCCGGTTTGAAGCCAGGAGCCAGGTGCTTCTTCCTGGTCTCCCACGCAGGTGCAGGGCCCAAGGACTTGGGCCATCCTCCACTGCTCTCCTGGGCAGGACTGGAAGAGGAGCAACTGGGACAGAATCCAGCGCCCCAACCGGGACTAGAACCCAGGGTGCCGGTGCCGCAGGCGGAGGATTAGCCTAGTGAGCCGTGGCACCGGCCAATCCTTCTTAATTTCCTCAATAGGAAATTATATTACTTCACTGAAAACACAGAATATAAAGGTTTCCTTCTTAAGCACGAGTTGAAATTTTAAAGTAACAGCAGCTTAATTTTCATTCCTGCTTTCATTCAATGAAGAAAATTCCTAAAGATTATTTGAACACGTGTATATTAATGTGAGTAACAATATGATAGACATACTCACAATTAACATGGTATAAAGCTGATTTTCATACATTGGCAATCAACTAATGCTTTAAATCTTATTTCCTGCTATTTCCTACATTACTCTTTATATTAAATATCTTAAAGAAGATATGCGTAATGATGATCACAGCAGCTGTTTTCATAATAGGCAAAAGCTGAATACAAGCCCAATGTTCCTCAACAGAAGAATATTCATAAAATCAGGGAAGATGCATCAATTAAAAAAATAGTGAAATACTGACAGGAAAGAACATGAATGAATTTCAAAAACATTGTGTCTAAGTTAAAGAAGTCCTACACAAAAAAGAACATACTGTGATTCCATTTAGGCCAAGTTCAAGAGCAGACTGACCGAATCAATAACTGACTGTGGTGCATCAGAACAGTGGGTGTGGGAATACGAACTGGGAATGAGCAGAAGGGAACAGGAACATCTGGGACACTGGAAATGATCTCCATCTTTCTCTGGGTTGTGGGTGCACAGGCTCTCTCTCTTCTCTCCCTCTCTACACAAATGTGTATGCTGATGTGTAAGCTGATGGAACTGTACATGGAAGACTAAACACATCAGACATTTTATTTAATGTATGTTACAGCTCAATAAAAAGTTTTTAAAATACTTAAGTGGCTGGCAGTTGTGCAAGCACACCAGGCTGAATTTTCCTGCTGACACATAACTGTTAGAATGCAAGCTCCATGAGGGAGGTGTGTTTTGTATCTTTGTCCTGGCACACAGGAGGCACCAATACAGAAATAAACGCCTTGACTAGTGACTCTAACATCAAAGCTTTTCCAACGTCCTCCCCTGCGGTTCACAGGCATGCGGATTCCTCCAGTCTTCGCTCAGGGGTGGTATCTACCTTCCAACATGAGGCTAGAATAAATGTGGGCCCCCACGTTCCCACACACCATGTTTACCCCCAGCACCACATTAACTACAATCAGTTGAACGTACCCCCTGGATATTGCCTCTACTCTAGAGATAAGAAGGGTGAGGGTTAGGAAGATTATATAATTGTGAAGATCATGAAGCTAGAGTCAGGAGTGAAGCACCAAAGTATATGCCTTTATGTAAGAGAAGAGCCAGGCTCTTGCCCCTCCTGAATAATGAACGCTGACTACAAACGCGCCACTCAGTGCTCAGCTCAGCTTTCGCCTCTCTTGCACTGCCTCTGGGACAACACTGTGGCCCACCTGTTCCTTCCCTTCCAGACCTCTTCTCACTTGCTCTTCAATAAATTTGGCAGTCTTTTCTTCATCATCAAGGTCTTGTTTCTTCTTTTTCTCTAGCTCCAGTTGTCGGCGGATAGTTTCTGGATCTCGGTCTATGTACTGAATATACCAGCCTTTTGGTGTCTCATCCACTTTGCACAAGCCTTTGGGGGGGGGGGGGGGGAGACATCACAAATTTGTATGCACTCAAAGCAAAATGTAAGTATAAATGTGTCATCTGCAACCTCTCCAGTATTTTTTTCTGGAAAAAAAAAAAAAATTTTTTTTTTTGACAGGCAGAGTTAGAGAGAGAGAGAGACAGAGAGAAAGGTCTTCCTTCTGTTGGTTCACCCCCAAATGGCTGCTACGGCTGGTGCGCCGCGCCGATCCGAAGCCAGGAGCCAGGTGCTTCTTCCTGGTCTCCCATGCGGATGCAGGGCCCAAGCACTTGGGCCATCCTCCACTGCACTCCCGGGCCACAGCAGAGAGCTGGACTGGAAGAGGAGCAACCGGGACTAGTACCCAGCACCCCAACCAGGACTAGAACCCGGGGTGCTGGCACCACAGGCGAAGGATTAGCCTAATGAGCCATGGAGCCGACCTTTTTCTGAATTTAAAAAAAAAAAAAATTATTTCAGAAATAGAGAGAGAGAGACAGCTTCTAGCCACTGACTCACTCTGGAAATGCCTCCCAAAAGCCAAGGCTGTGAGGAGCCAGGAACTCAGTAGCGTCTCCCATGCAGGAAGCAGGAACACAAGTACCTGAGACATCACGGCTGCCTCTCACGGTCTGTGCTTTAGAAGGCTGAAGAATCAGAGCCAGGAACTGAACCCAAGCACTGCAACATGGAACCTGGGCATCATAACTGCTAGACTAAACGTCTGTTCCTTCCTCCGATTTTATTTATTATTATTATTTATTAACTGTATTAATGAGAAAGGCAGAGAGACAGATGGAACCAGGACTCGAACCTGAACACTGTGATATGGGAAGCAGGTATCACAGGTAATGTAACCACTGCGCCAAGCACTTGCCCCTCCTCCAGGTTTTTAACTGCCCTACACATCCTGTTTTCCCTGAGTTTCGACAGAAATTATGACAATTCTCTCTGTTGTCAATGGTACCACAGAATAACTCCTCAAATAATCTCCTCTTCTTACCTTCTCTGCCCAGCCACTTAGTAAAATCAGTCAGGGTTTCCCACTGAGTGGCATTCATATGGATGTGCTCTCGGTGGCTGATATACTCATTGTAGACAATGTTGTTGTGGACTCTCTTCGTGCCTGGGAACAAAATAGGACAACGCTGATCCAGAGAAAACTGGAGAGTATATAATTATTATATGCACAATACAGAAGATATTTACCAAAGCGTCTTCTGAGAAGTTCGAGAAAGTCATTTCGGAATTCCCTAATAAAAAAAGAAAGCATTAAGGAAATTTCTGTAAATACACAGCATCATCTTACATTTAAAATGTAGGCAATCGTACAGTTTTAATGGCAAGCAAATATCTGCTGAGAACCTTTAAAAAGGGAACAAGGCAAGGACGCTAAAAGGTTATAGCCTTTAAGGGCTAAAGATAAAAGTCTGTCTGGAACTGAAACTTTCTCTCCTGGTAAGACAGCAGCGTACCTTTGGAGAGGATCCTTCACGAAGTCTCTTAGCAGTCCTGAATACAGTATAATAATCTCATTCTACCTATGATCACCAAATTGCCCTTATGCAATATGTCCTCTAAACTGTATACTGTGTTAATTGCTATATAACAGGTAAATAAAACATAAACCTTGACCTTCAAGGAGGTTACAATCTAACAATTTTAACAATTATAATAATTATAACGATAACCCAATTATAACAGAAGTTAAACTAAAAAAGTAATATATAAAAATATCATCAAAAGAGTTGAGGGAGATACCTACAGTGATTTAATTTTTTAAATAATATTTGTTGGGGGCTGGCTCACTTGGTTAATCCTCCCCCTGCGGCACTGGCATCCCATATGGGCACCAGGTTGCTCCTCTTCCAGTCCAGCTCTCTGCTGTGGCCCGGGAGAGCAGTGGAGGATGGCCCAAGTGCTTGGACCCCTGCACCTGCAAGGGAGACCAGGAGGAAGCACCTGGCTCCTGGCTTCGGATCGGTGCAGTGCCAACCGTGGCGGCCATTTGGGGAGTGAACCAACAGAAGGAAGACCTTTCTCTCTGTCCCTCTCTCTGTCTATAACTCTGTCAAATAAAAAAAAAAATTGTTGGGGCTGGCATGATAGGTAAAGCTGCTGCATATCATTCCAGCATCACATACGGACACCGGTTCGTGTCCCAGATGTTTTTCCAATCCAGCTCCCTGGAAAAAGCAGGGGAAGATGGCCCAAGTGTTCGGGTCCTTGCCACCTGCATGGGTTGACCCATACGAAGCTCCCGGCTTCAGCCTGGCCTGGCACTGGCTGTTGCGGCCATCTGGGAAGTGAAGCAAATGATGGAAGATCTCTCTCCTAGTTTCTCCTCTCTCTTTCAAAATAAATAAATATTTATTTATTTATGAGGCTACAAGACAGAGAGAGAGAGAGGGAGAGACAAAATTCCTAACCATTGGTTCACTCCCCAAAAGCACCATAAAGGCTGAGACAGGGCTGAGGTTGAAGGCAGAAGCTAAGCTAAGTTCCTGTTCCGTGGGTGACAGGAACTGAGTTACTTGAGTCACTCATGGTCTGTAGTGGCCGGAAGCCGGAGGCAGAAGCTGGAGCTGGGAATCCCAGCACTCCAGTGGGACTCGGCCATCTGAACTGGGGCCTTAACCGCGAGGCTAAATGTCTGCGCCCCTTTAGAGGTGATCTTAATGTGCGCAGAGAAGTATAAAACGGACTTTTATAGGGGAAGAGGAGGCGAAGGCCATTCTCAGCAGGCATGGATATGAAAACATAAGAAAACAGAGAAAGGATACAAAGATGATGGTGATTGGGGGTCAGCAGGGAGGAGAGTTGTGGCTAGAAAATAAAAATAAGGTTTGGGTTAACTTTTGAAGTATCTATATGTTGTAGCGGGCAGGTTTCATGCAGGCAATGGAAAAGCACTAAATAATTTAGTATCAAAATAAATTTGTTCAAATCTGTAGTTTACAAAGATAATCCTGGCAGACGGTAGACAATAATAATTCTCAGACTGTGGTTCCCAGACCAGTGGTCGCTGCATCCCCTGGGAACTTGAGAGAAACACAAAACTTCCAACCCTGGCCTACAGATTCACCAAGCAAAGAGCTGGGAGTGGGGTTTGCCGACTTGCCAAGAAGCCTTCCAATTCTGACCCAAGGAGGGTTTTGGGAGACACTGGTATAAACATGTATAGGACGAGCTGAAGCTGCAGCCTAGAAACTAGTGAGGAAGTCACTGAAATACTTTATGTGATGGGGCTCGTGTTGTGGGGTAGTGGGTTAAGCTGCTGCCTGTGAAGCCGGCACCCCATATGGGCATCGGTTCAAGTTCTGGCTGCTCCACTTTTGACCCAGCTCCCTGCTAATGTGCTTGGGAAAGCAGCAGAAGATGGCCCAAGTACTTGGACTCCTGCATCCACATGAAACTCCTGGCTTCGGTTCAGCTCAGTCCTGGCCTTTGCAGCCATTTGGGCAGTGAACCAATAGATGGAAGATTGATTCTCTCTCTCTCTCTCTCCAACTCCACCTTTCAAATAAGTAAATGAATATTAAAAGGAAAAAAATACTTTAGGTGAGAGATGCTGAGGACCGTTACCAGCACAATGAGAAAGGAAAGGACCCCAGTTTAAAGGCCATCGCGTAGAACTGACAAGAGGGAATCCTCAGAGAATTCAAGGTTTCTAGCTTAGGAGGCTGCATAGACAGCTTATTAGCCAACATAGAGTAACAAGCAGGTGTGAGGAATGGACACTGTGGTGCAGCGAGTGCCTGGTTCAAGTCCCAGCTACAGTGCACTTCCAGTCTACCTCTCTGCTAATACACCTGGGAGGCAGCAGATGATGGCCCAAATACTTGGGTTCCTGCTACTCACATGGGAGATCCAGACAGAGTTCTTGGCTCCTGGCTTTGGCCTGGCCCAGCTCTAGCTGTTGCAGGTATTTAGTTAATGAACCAGCAGATTGAATGAAGATACGTCTCTCTGTCTTATCTTCTCTCAGTATCACTCTGCCTCTCAAATAAACTCTTATACACACACACACACACACACACAGAGAGAGAGAGAGAGAGAGAGAGAGAGAGAGAGAGGGAGAGAGAGAGAGAAACAGGTGTAGTAGAAAAAATACTGAGTTCAGCTTTAGAAATGCTCACTTTGAGACATGCATCTGAAATTCAGATTAAATTGCCCAAGGGGGAACATCCAGCTCAAGACAAACACCAGGAATGAACAGGAAGATTTAGGAGGCACCCACGCATAAAGTAAACAGAGGAACAGTGAGATTCAAGGAGACTAGGTAGAGTGAGATGAAAAGAAGCGAAGCAGGCAACTTGAAGGACTTCCCCAAAATGAGGAGCTGGGTGAGGAAAAGGAGTTAATGCACAGAGAAAGCACAAAGGAAGTAAGTAGGGAAACCATGAAAGAAAATAAAATGGTGATGTTTCCATGAAGAGTTATGAGCGTGACCCACCGAAGAAAGATCCAGAAAGATGAAGATGCAAAAAGGTACAGGTGACTCTTCAGGAGAGTAAAGTGGCAGAAGTCAGCCTGCAGGAGGTTCAGGAAGGCAGTGGGATGGACAACCTCTCTCTCTCTCCCTCTCAAACAAATAAATAAATGTTAAAAAAAAAAAAAAGCAATGGAGGGTAAACCTGTTGGGAGCTCAGCACACAAGGCAGGGCAGTGGGCAGCCACATCATACTGCAGTAGCAGTGTATTCCTCACCACCATCAACACGCAGGAACAACCAAGCAACTTCGTCTAGAACGTCCTTGATGAAGCACTAAGATTACTGATTGTATTAAGTCTTAATCCTCAAAAACACATCCGAGGGACTGGCATTGTGGCGTAGCAGGTAAAGTTACCAGTTGCAATGTGGGCATCCCATATGGGTGCTGGTTCGTGTAGAGCTGCTCCACTTCTGATCCAGCTCTCTGATAATGACCTGGGAAAAGCAGCAGAAGATGGCCCAGGTGCTTGGGCCCCTGTCACCAACATGGGAAACCTGGAAGCAGCTCCTGCTTCCTGGCTTCCGCCTGGCCCAACCATGGCTGTTGTGGCCATGGGGGGAGTAAACCAGCAGATGGAAGATCTTTCTATCTGTCTCTCCCTCTCTTTCTTTGTGACGCTCTCAAATAAAATAAGTAAATCTTAAAAACTACTTCTGCTGTTATATATATAGCAGTTGTCTTGAGAAAAACACTTGTATGACTGGATTGCAAACTGAAATATTTTTTACAAGAAACACCATTTTACCTGAAGAAAAAACAAACCCTGACACATAAACCTCTGTTATACCAAATTGATGACAAAATTTAAACTTTTAAGCAAAAATCAGAGTTTTGGGGGCCAGTATTGTGGTGCAACTCCAGTATCCCATATGGGTGCCAGTTCGGTGCCAGGGTGCTCCAATTCTGATTCAGCTCCCTGCTAATAACACCTGGGAAAGTAGCAGAAGATGGCCCAAGTACTTGGGCCCCTGTACCCACGTCAGAGACCTGGATGAAGTTCCATCTCCTGGCTTGGCCTGGCCCAGTCATGGTTGTTGTAGCCATCTGGGGAGTCAACCAGCAGATGGAAGATGGATCTTTCTTTCTCTTTCTCCCTTTCTCTCTGATAAAAATTAAGAGTTTTGATAAATGAAAATCTAGCACTGTGAGTCTGACACACTTCTGAACACTTAAAGATGTTTCTGATGACATCAGTGTTGATATTAAGGTATATGGTCTTATGACATTATATACTGAAACCTGTCACTATCTGGAAGATCTGTGTAACTCAGCGAACCAGTATTTTTCAAATGACCCACATGTTACAAAATCATGCATGGGTAAAGATCTACTCAAAGAAATCGACAGTAGATTTTAATTTAAAAGAATATAAAAAGTTGACTGATCTGGTTTCAGAATCTGCACGCAGCTAACGTGTAAGAAACTGCACAGGGCCGGCGCTGTGGTGCAGCAAGTTCAGCTGCCACCTGCCATGCTGGCATCTCATGTGAGCACTGCCCGTGGGTCCTCACTGCTCCACTTCAGCTTCCTGCTAATGCACCTGAGAAAGCAGCAAAAGATGACTTGAGTACTTGCGCCCCTGCCAGCCTGGTAGGAAACTGGATAGAGTTCCTGGCTTCTGGCTTTGACCTAGCCCACACCTGGCCATTGTGGCCACCTGGGAGTGAACCAACAGATGGGAAATCTCTATCTCTCCATGTCTGATTTTCAATATACAAATCAATCTTTAAAAAAAAAAAAAACTGCATACATTGTGTTTTGCACAGAATGTAGTATCAAAAGACTATCCAAAATTATCTGAAAAGATTATTAAAATACTCTCCTTTCCAACTATGCATCTATGCCAAATGAGGCTTTTTTTTTAATGTGTTTCAATCAAAACATTTTGCAATATCTAAATACAGAAGATATCAAAATCCAGCCATCATCTATTAAGTGAGACACTAAAGACATCTATAGAAATATAAAGTAATAATACATGTTTATTTATGTAGGAACTCTTTTTAATTAAAAATGTTTATTTAAATATGTAATAAATGTACTTTTTAAAAAATATTTATTTATTTGAAAGTCAGAGTTACACAGAGAGAGGAGAGGCAAAGAGTAAGAGAGGTCTTCCATCCAGTGGTTCACTCCCCAACTAGCCGCAACAGCCGGAGATGCACCAATCCAAAGCTAGGAGCCAGGAGGCTTTTTATGGGTCTCTCATGTGAGTGCAGGGGCCTAAGGACTTGGGCCATCTTCTGCTGCTTTCCTGGGCCACAGTAGAGAGCTGGATTGGAAGTTGAGCAGCTGGGCCTCGAACTGGTGCCCATATGGGATGCTGGTGCTTCAGGCCAAGGCATTAACCTGCTGTGCCACAGCACTGGCCCCAAGTGTATTATTATTTTTAAATGGACTGGTAAAAAACATTTTTAGGATGTCTCAGTTTTACTTTCTAAATGTTACTACATATAATCCACATAAACAAAATTTCTGTGGTATCTTCAAATCATTTTTAAGAATGTAAAGATATCCTTAGACCAAAGGTCTAAAAGCTTGAAAAGACACAGATAGAAGCAAGGGTAAATATTAATGATAGTAATTAACAGATGACTTTTTAAAAGACATTTATTTGGGCAGCAGAGAGACAGAGAGCTCCCATCTGCTAGTTCATTCCCCAAATGCTTGCAATGGTGAGCCAGAAACTCAATCCAGGTCTAGTACATGGGCGGCAGGGACCCAATTACTCGATCCTTCACTTCCAGGATCTATATTAGTAGGAAGCTGGAATCAGAAGCAGAGCTGAGACTGGAACGCAGGCACTTCAATATGTAAGGCAGACATGCCAACCAATATTCTAACCACTAGGCCAAATACCTGTTTCTTTAATAGATGGCATAACAGAGGGGCACTTTTCGAAGTACTTTAAAAATACGAGGTATAAACTGATTTACTCTTCCCATAAATCCTACAAAGGATCAGTTTACAGATAAGGAGACAAAATACAAATAAACTTAAGACGCTCATCCAGGCAGCGCTCCTAAGTGGAGAAGGATTTGAGATCAGGCAGTCCGATGACATGGCCTGTATTCCAAGTCACAACTGTGTTAGAATGAAAGACAGTTTCCTAGTTTCCCAGTTGAAGTGGAAGGAATACTTTTGTAACCATTTGGTACTGTGACGAATTTTCAAAAGATAAAAACTGGGCATACAGAGAATACAGCTATCATGCTAACACATAAGGAATAACAGAACCTTCAATGTATGAAACATTAAGCATCTATTAAGTGTTCAACTGAGTAAAGCTTATGAGATAAGGATGTCTTTGAATTACTTACTCTGAAAAATAATCCATAAACTGCTGAGGATTCTCTGAAGCCAGTAATAGTTGTCTCTGATGAGATTCCGACATACAATGACACTTAAAGCCATTCTACAAAAAAATGCAAAGGTAATAGTGAAATTCTTATTTAAGTCATCAAAATGGACTCTTAAATAGAAGTATTTAATTAAACTCTAACATTTGCTCTTTGATGTTAAATTGTAAAAAAAATAATCAAATCACCAGCTATAATCACTCTACAGTTTATTTTTAATGCAGTTGAGTTTTGCAACTCTGCTAATCAAAATAATCCCCGAGATCAAAGAGACAGAAAAACAGTGCTATAGAAAACAGACATTAATAGCAAACACTACTGAGCACAGTAACAGAAGAGTGATTTCATTTTTTGTACTCAATTTAACCAATTCTTACTGAGCACATACTTCATAGAGGGCGTTATGCAAATAGTTCAAAGAATAAAATGAAGTAAAAATGGGTCATTTGTGAATTTCCACCACTCAAACTATCTGCATTGGCCTTCCTCTACTCCAGCTCATTATCCAAAATACACTGTTGCACATTACACAAATCTCCTTAACTTACATCAGTCATCAGTAAGATGACTGTAAAAAACATACACGTTTTGACTTAGCATTTATTTATTCTGCTTAATATCCGAACTTGATTCTTCACTACTCTGAAACAGAACTGGAAACTGTGCCTCTTACATGCTCCCTGTCTCACTCAGTGAGCCGCACCACCTCATGGCCAGCCACCCACGCCAGGAATAGACAGCGTCCAAGATTCTGCCTGCTTTGACGCACAATTTGTTGCTAAGTCTGTCCAGTCTTCTTAATAGTTCATACGCAGTCCCTCTGTTCAGTCCCACTGCCACTGTCCCAATTTTGACACACAGCAGTTTCCCACTCTTCAGTCATCCAGGATCACCTACACAATTTGTGCTTCATTCCTGCCCTACCTGTTAAGAATCACAATTAAATCTAACTTGAAAGGATACTTAGTATCAATCTCATAAAGGAACAACCACAACAACAAAAAAAAACAACCCAACATCATTATACAAATTTTAGAAATAAATCAATAATTAAAATGAAATAATGGTATTAAATCCTACACACCCAAAAGACTAGATGGGGTGGAGAGAAATACCCTGATTCCAACCTTCCTCTCCATTCACCTTCCAATACTGGAGGATAGAAAGCAGGAGAGGAAACCTGTAGGGGTCAATTTCCTCCAGCCTTAGGCTACTGTCCCAGGTAGGGAAGGGTATGAATTGCTCTGATGGCAAACATGCATTACTCTGAAAATTGGTAATTAAAAGAAAGAATTAATAACTTGTTCTCTGGGGCCAGTGCCATGGCATAGTGGGTTAGGCCTCTGCCTGCGGCACCTATATCCCACGTGGGCACCGGTTCATGTCCCGGCTGTTCCTCTTCCAATCCACCTCTCTCCTGATGGCCTGGGAAAGCAGTGGAAGATGGTCCAAATGCTTGGACTCCTGCACCCACATAGGAGACCCGGAAGAAGCTCCTGGCTCCTGACTTTGGGTCAGCGCAGCTCCCAGCCATTGCAGCCATTTGGGGAATGAACCTGTGGATGAAAGACCTTTCTCTCTGTTTCTCCCTTTCTCTCTCTCTGAAAGGCTGCCTCTCAAATAAATAAACAAATATTTAAAAAACAGTCAGCACTGTGGCGCAGAGGATTAAAGCCCTGGCCCAAAGTGCAGGCATCCCATATGGGTGCCGGTTCAAGTCCTGGCTACTCCTCTTCAATCCAGCTCTCTGCTGTGGCCTGAGAAAACAGTAGAAGATGGCCCAAGTCCTTGGGCCCCTGCACCCGTGTGGGAGACCCAGAGGAAGTCCCTGGCTCCTAACTTCGGATCAGCTCGGCTCAGCTCCGACTGTTGCGGCCATATGGGGAGTGAACCAGCAGATGGAAGACCTCTCTCTCTGTCTCTACCTCTCTAACTCTGCCTTTCAAATAAATAAAATAAATTTTTAAAAAACAAACAAACAACAAAAAAAAAAACCTTGTTCTTTTCCAATAGGAATTACATTTCAGGACGAAGTTTAAACATAACCAAACAGCCAAGTTGATGAGCAAAAGCTCATTTTTACAAAAGAATAGCTTCAAATAATAAATGCACACATAACTAGAAAACCACTTTGCAGGCTGGGTGGCGCAGATGGCTAAAAGCTCTAGCCTGAAGTGCTGCCACACGATTCCACATCGGTGCTGGTTCAAGTCCCAATTGCTCCACTTCCGATCCAGCTCTCTGCTATGGGAAGTCCTTGGGCCCCTGCACCCGCTTGGGAGACTTGGAAGAAGGTCCCAGCTCCTGATTTCGGATCGGCCCAGGCCGGCCACCATGGCCATTTGGGGAGTGAACCAGCGGCTGGAAGACTCTCTCTCTCTGCATCTCTCTGTAACTCTGTATTTCAAATAAATAAAATAAATCTTAAAAAAAAGAAAAAAGAAAACCACTTTGCAACTCCTAATGAAATAACTGACTCAGATAAGGATGCTACAATACACAGGTAAAAGGTTAATGGGTAATTAGATATATGGACATGATTTCAAATAGTAACCCACTAGTAAAGTTGCTCTCACATAGGGAAAAATATTACTTTACAGGCTGTCAGCCTTATTTAATCATCTTAGCATAATTAAACAGTACAGACTTCCTTATGTGAGGCAATATGAAACACACAGGGTCACCTACAAAATATTGTTCCTTAAAATGCTTAACCTGAACCTAATCAAGTCTTCATATCCAAGTTCCAGTTGACAGGAACTATAAGAGCTAGAAGATGAAGGCCAAAGACACGTTCATAGCGTGGGAATGCTACAGGACAACTGACTGGCCTCCTTCACAAATCAACACAAAGAAAAAAAAAATAAATAAGAAAAGAAGAAATTTTTTAAAATAAAAAAAAAGAAAAAAGGGGAGAGGGATCCTGTTACAAATTTAGAATTGTAAGAGAGAGAATTAAAAGTTCTAATAACCTAAGACAGAGGATTTTGGGGGCCAGAAACTATTCTGTAAGATGCTATAATGGTGGATTCCTATCATTATTTAAGCTGACAGAATGTACAATACCAAGAGTGAGCCTTAATGTAAGATGGACTTTAGAGGATAATGATGTGTCAATGTAGGTTTATCCACTATAACAAATGTACCATTCTAGGGAAGGATGTTGTTAAGTAGGGGAGTGTTTGGGAGTGTGTTACAGCTGCTTTTTGCTGTAAACCAAAAACAACTTAAAAAGTAAAGTCTATTTAAGAAAAAAAAAAAGTCCTAACAACCAATCCAATTTATGGATTTCAATTGAATTTTGGTTTGAAAAAACTGCTTTTAAATAATTTGGGCAACAAGTAGGAAGCATGAATATAGAGTGTGTAGATGATAGGAATTTACTAGCTTTGTCCTATTGATGACCTATATTGTGGTTATTTTGATACTGTATTGATTGATTGATTAACTGATGTTCATTTGATGGGCAGAGATGGGGGGAAAAAAGCTCCCATCCACTGCTTCACTCTCCAGATATCTGCAGCAGCCCCCGAATGGGGCAGAGGCTGCAAGACGGTAACTCAGCTCAGGTCTCACGACCGGCAGGAACCCAATTACTTGAGCCATCACTTCTGCCTCCCAGGGTCTGCATTAGCAGGAAGCTGGAATGGGGAGTGGAGTCACGTCCTGAACCAGGAACTCGATCTGACGAGGCACACGGGCATCCTAACGGTGTCCTAACTTCCACCCTTATATCCTGACATTTCAGAAATGCACACTTTAGTACTTAGAGGTGAAATACCCTGATATTTATAACTTACTTTAAAACACTTCAGTGACATGTAAGTATGGCAGGGGTGAGTATTTGGCCTAGTGGTTAATCACCACTTGGGACACCTGCCTCCTGTACTGGCGTCCACATCCTATATTGCAGAGCCTGGCTTTGACTCCTGGCTTTGCTCCTAGTTGCAGCTTCCCTGTAATACACACTCTGAGAGGTAGCAGGTGATGACTCAAGTGGCTGGGTCCCTGACACTGGAACTGAATTCTTGGCTCCCAGCTTCAACCTGGCCTAGCCCTAGCTGTTGCAGGCATTTGGGGGAGTGAACTGCCTCTCAGGTGACATTTTTTTTTTTTTTAAAGAAAATATGGCAAAATACATCAACTGTTAAAACTGCATGTTTGGGGTTGGCACTGTGGCATAGCAGGTAAAGCCACCACCTGCAGTGCTGGCATCCTATGTGGGCGCCAGTTCCAGTCCCGGCTGCTCCACTTTTGATCCAGCTCTCTGCTGTGGCCTGGGAAAGCAGCAGAAGATGGCCCAAGTGCTTGGGCCCTGCAACCACGCAGGAGACCCAGAAGAAGCTCCTGGCTTCTAGTTTCTGGCTCTGGCTTTGGATCAGCTCAACTCCAGCCGTTGCAGCCATATGGGGAGTGAACTAGCGGATGGAAGACCTCTTTCTCTGTGTGTGTGTCTACTTCTCTGTAACTCTGTCAAATAAATAAAATAAATCTTAAAAAAAAAAAAAAAAAAAACTGCAAGCCTGTGTCCCCCAAAATTCACAATGAAATCCTAATCCTTAACAAGACATTAGAAGTGGGACCTTTTGCAGCCCCGGTCATTGCAGACATTTGGGAGTGAAATCTCTGTCTCTCTCCCTCTCTCTAACTCTGCCTTTCAAATGAATAAATAAATCTTAAAAAAAAAAAAAAAAAGTGGAAGTGGGGCCTTTAGGAGGTAATTTTGTTTAGACAAAACTGTCAGGGTCGAGCCTCTGTGGTGGTATTATTACCCTTATATTAAAAAAAAAAAGGCTAGAGGGGGCCAGCATTGTGGCATAGTGGGCTAAGCCTCTGCCTGTGGCACCAGCATCTCACATGGGTGCCAATTCGAGTCCCAGCTGCTCCACCTCTGATGCAGCTCTCTGCTGTGGCCTGGGAAAGCAGTAGAAGATGGCCCAAGTCCTTGGGCCCTGCACCCGCGTGGGAGACCTGGAAGAAGCTCCTGGCTCCTGGCTTCGGATCAGCACAGCTCCAGCCGTTGCAGCCATCTGGGGAGTGAACCAGCGGATGGAAGACCTCTCTCTGTGTCTCTCCCTCTCTCATAAATAAAATGTAGGAAAAAAGAAAAAGAGCTAGAGCTGCTCTCTCCCCACCTTGTAAGGATAAAGAAGGACTATCCCCTATGACCCAGGAAAAGGGTCCTCACCAAAACCCTGCTATCCCAGAACCTGACCTCAGCCTGCCCAGGCTCTGCAACTGTGAGAAACAGACCACTCGGTCCACGGTGTTGGTACTGTAATCCAAGCAGACGACAACACTGGGGAGTGGACCAATGGCTGTTCACTGTTCTAGTCTCTGGTTTTCTTTGTGAGAACCTCATGTTGACTTAGAACAGAAAGAACTAAAGAGAAATGCCAGACATAAGCCGTTTAATGTGAGTCCAACCTAAGACATCTCACTCATGTGCAGAAACTGGATTCGATTATTCCAGTTGCCTCTATGTTCTTTCATTACTATCCAATCTAATCTCCAAAGAAAAAATATGATCACGTCACTAGCCTGCTCTCAAGGTCTTCAATTCTGGGTTCCATCATCAACCTCACTTAATGGAAAAGTATAAACTCCATAGCCTGATACACAAGGCTTGTTCTAGGACTCCCAAAACCACCTCGCATATAATTCATTGATTTAAAAAACTTAAAACAACAAGCCTACAAGGAGGTATAATTATTATTTCCACTTTACAGAGAAGTAAACAGGCAAAGACAACGTGAACTTCCCCAAATCACACAACGAATAAGCCGCATGGCTCGGCTGCCTAATTTTGACAGTGCGGCTCCGGATAAGTCCACAGTTTCGACCACGATAGAACTCAGCCTATCCTACAGTCAATACTCCACAAATGCTTGTTAGATATGCAGCGTGGAAGAGCTTAGTTTTCCTTCTGCACCTGATCCTGAATTCTAATCATGCTTTTTCTCTTAAGAGGCATGTTAAGTCAGAGAGCAGGTAAGTTAGTGCCTGGACGGCTGGCACCGCACTACCCATTTCCACACCGGAGCTGCAAACTTCTCCGAATTCATATCTTCGGGGCAGGTGGATTAGGAGGAATGGGGTGTCGAAGACCCCCAGGTCCCCGTGGAGCCGGGGGTGCAGGGAAGATGACTCCACTGAGTTGCGCAGCTGACTCACCCAGCGCAGACCCCAAGAGAAGCCTTACTAGTGGGCCCCTGAGACCTGCACCCTCACCCCCAGCGACGAGCCCTCCTGGAGGGAGGGAACCACCCGGGCTCACTCACCTCGTCTCGACACTGCTTCTGGCACATCTGGCAATACCAGCGTAGCTTCTGAAGCCCCTTGGATTTGATCCTGTTGGCGATGGCCTTTGGAGTAAGAAAATCTGACTTCCCCATCACGACCACCGCAGAGACCACTTTCAGAACCTCAGCACCCCGGCAACCGGAAGCGGAACTGGGTTGGTGGGGCAGGCGGGACAAAGCTGCAAGCCGGGGAAAAGGTGGGACCTCGGGGAAGGCGGGGCCCCACCACTCGCGAGATTTCGCGAGAGCAAGCGAGACTACAGTAGCAAGCGAGGTGGGAGGGGCGAGTGGGGAAGCCTGCGCGCGCGCGCAGTAAGCCCTGTCTGCCCGACCTTCAGCAAGGCCGGTGCCACCATGTTTTCTCGGGCGAGCGTCGCTGGGCTGTCGGCCAGGGCCTTGCAACCGCAATGGTATGGCAGCTTATGGGAGGATCGGGAGAACTGTGAAGGGTAGAAGAGCTTGGTCAGGTGGGATGGAGGAGGCGGTGGGGGCGTGCAGGACGAACCCGGGAGGTGCAGGGCCTGGCTAGGCCCCGTGTCCTGCAGAGGCCCCGGGCAGCCCCGGGCTGCAGGAAGCGGCTCCGAAGCGGGAATGGCGGGCGCTGCGGCCGAAACTGCTGTCAGAGGGGGGAAGGCCCTGCCAAGTCCCCTGAGGCTGGAGGGGTCATTTGGAATCTTGGGACTGAGACCTTTGTCCGAGTTCGTGTCAGGGCGGTCTTGAATTCATTCAGCTAATAAGGACTTCCTGAGCTTCCGCTTCCTGCCAGGCAGCAAGTCTGGGGGAGACGTTAGCCCGGGTCCTCAAGCTTAGGGGTGGGGGATTATGTGAGATCAAGCCTAGGAGACGGTTACGTGGTGCTCTGTGTCCTTGAAACCTTCCAGGACTGGGCAGTGTGACCCTTTAAGACTTAATCGAGTCTGAGCACATTCATCAAATACGCTTATCGATATGCGACGGGCGCTTCGCTGGGTTACTGGAAAAATGAGGGTGGTGGTCGTCTCGGTGCAGAAGGGACCTTAAAGGCCTTCGCTGCTAATGGGGAGAGGAAAGCCATCTGTCACCCTCCTGAAACCATCACCCTGCAAGGTCATGTGATTGCGCCAAGGTCCTCAGGAGATGAATTTTAAGTGGTATTTGTTAACTGCAGGTGAAGGGCACTCCACGTTTTAAAGGTTTTCAACTTGAGTTCCTCGGGGGTGGGGTGGGGGGGGCGCATATTAGGCGGCTTCAGCAATGGCCAGATAAAAGTGTGTTTGCGGGTAGTGCTGTATAATGGGATGAAATGCTGTGAAGCCAGAGTCTGAGAGAATATTAGGGTGCACAGGGGACTGTTAGCTCTCAGCGGCGTCATAGCAAACCCCTGGTGTTACAGTGTGGGGGATTTCTAGGGAGCTCCAGACACTTGATTCTTGTAATTTGTGATGGGACTGTGAAGCATTGATTGAAATGGAACTTCTTTCGTTAAGAATTGATAGCCATGTACAATTAATTAAATATGATGGGAATTGTGTATGTGAAATTTTTGGAGAGATGGCCGTGGAAGCTAGATTTTTTTCCGGTCGAGAAAGAATATTCATAGAAATTCAGAAGTCAGGACAGCCACATTCTTAGATGTGTAGATTTTCCCATTAGTAACTTCTCAGCAAGCATCTGCTAAGTGTTTACCCTGGCTGGTTGACACTGAAAAGTGCTACACTGTGGTTTGAACAAACAGATGCGGCCTTGGTGAGCTTCCAGGCCAGCCATGTAACTGGGCAATCATAGCCTCTTCTTCCCATCTCCCTTGCATTGATGTTATCTGCTAGTATTTTTAGACTCACAGTTTCAAGTAGATATTTTAAAAATGGAGAGTTTCTGAAATGGAGAAAAATATTTTACATGAACTTCTAGCAGTCACTTTTAAGAAAAACATGTAAGACAATTTAGAAGTCTCTTAATAAAGGTAGGGTTGTTTTTTTTTTCTTTTTTTTTGAAAAAAGAGCCCTTGGTCTGAGGCAGCTGCATGGAGCCCAAATTGGGACTTCAGTTAGCAAATAAAGGTTGTAGTCCTGACCTTAATACCTTTGGAACTTTTGTTTTAAACTGATAGGTTTTGAATATTCATCAAGCAACCTCTTCACATATTCCGTTGTTTGGATTAAGGTCCTTCTTGCCTCTTCTACCCTGTGAATTATAATTCATAGATCAGCTGTTTGGTACAGTAGTGAAGCCACCTCTTGGGACACCCGTGTCCCATATTGGAGTTGGAGTCCTGACTCCACTCTCCATTCTAGCTTCCTGCTGGTGTGCACCCTGCCAGGAAGCAGGTGGGTAGCTCAGTTACTTGCTTCCCTGCCACCCATGCAAGAGATGTGGATGGAGTTCCAGTCGCCTGGCTTAACCTGGAGCTGTCCTGGCTGTTGGGAGCATTTGGAGAGTGACCCCATGGATGGGAGGTTTCTGCCTGTCTCTGTCACTCTGCCTTGTAAATGAATAATATAAATACAAATTTAAATTCTACTTGGCTTTTGAATTCAGAAATCAGCACCATCTTTTTTTTTTTTTTTTTTTTAATTTATTTGACAGAGTTATAGACAATAGAGAGAAGGGGAAAGGTCTTCCCTGCATTGGTTCACTCCCCAAATGGCGGTTATGGCCGGTGCTGCGCCGATCTGAAGCCAGGAGCCAGGTGCTTCTCCTGGTCTCCCATGCGGGTGCAGGGCCCAAGGACCTGGGCCATCCTCCACTGCCTTCCCAGGCTACAGCAGAGAGCTGGACTGGAAGAGGAACAACCGGGACTAGAACCTAGTGCCCATATGGGATGCCAGCACCGCAAGTGGAGGACTAACCAAGTGAGCCACAGCGCCAGCCCAATTAGCACCATCTTAATGTTTCACATTTCACAGTTAATTTGGAAGGGGAGATAAATACTTTTGCCTTTACAGAACCATGACAAGATATTTCCTTGGGTCTGTTTTTTGGTTTGTTTTTTTTTTTTTTTTTTTTTTTTTTTTTTTTTTTTTTTTTTTTACAGGCAGAGTGGACACAGTGAGAGAGACAGAGAGAAAGGTCTTCCTTTGCCATTGGTTCACCCTCCAATGGCCGCCGCGCTGCTGCCGGCGCACCGCGCTGATCTGGTGGCAGGAGCCAGGTGCTTCTGCTGGTCTCCCATGGGGTGCAAGGCCCAAGCACTTGGGCCATCCTCCACTGCACTCCCTGGCCACAGCAGAGAGCTGGCCTGGAAGAGGGGCAACCAGGACTAGAACCCGGTGTGCCGGCGCCACAAGGCGGAGGATTAGCCTAGTGAGCCGCGGCGCCGGCCTTGGTTCTGTGTTTTTTTTTTTTTTGACAGGCAGAGTGGACAGTGAGAGAGAGAGACAGAGAGAAAGGTCTTCCTTTGCCGTTGGTTCACCCTCCAATGGCCGCCGCGGCCGGCGCACCGCGCTGATCCGATGGCAGGAGCCAGGAGCCAGGTGCTTTTCCTGGTCTCCCATGGGGTGCAGGGCCCAAGCACTTGGGCCATCCTCCACTGCACTCCCTGGCCACAGCAGAGAGCTGGCCTGGAAGAGGGGCAACCGGGACAGAATCCGGCGCCCTGACCGGGACTAGAACCCGGTGTGCCGGCGCCGCTAGGCGGAGGATTAGCCTAGTGAGCCGCGGCGCCGGCCTTGGTTCTGTTTTGATTATTGAAATTGAAAGCTTTTGAAATACGATTTGGTATTTTATAGTATTTTTGTTTGTTTGTTTTCAGCGAGGTTAACATGTTCGCTTTAACTAAGCATTAGACTTAATTAAAATCATTAGACCTAATTAAAAGTTATTTAATAGTATATTTTCATATCAGCAAAGTACTCTCACTTTTTGGAAATTGGGCCAGAAGTAGCATTTAAGAAAATGGAAACAAACTTGAAAAAAGGAGTCCCTGGTTTTACTACTTGAGATCTGGAGAAACTAGATTTTTGTCGCATTAATGTTCAATATTCTCCAAATGGGAACTGTTCTAAAATAGGAACATCAGTAGCCATAAACTAAACTATATACATTTAAAAAAGAAAGGTGCGAGGCAGCAGAATGTATAACAGGTAGATCCTGGAGCCAAACTGCCAGGGTTTAAATCCTGATGGCTGCCACTCACATGGCTGTGTGACCTTGAACAAGTTACTTAGTGTCTGTGCCGCCAGTCTGTCCTCTGTTAAAGGAGAATTAAAAAAAAAAAAAAGAGTGCGCTATTGGCTTAGTGTAAGGACTGAGTACTTGCAAAGAGCCTAGGACAGAGGGAGAAATACCGGTATAGATTTAAATGTATCAGCTGAAAAATGAAAACAAGTTTGTTTATTTTAAAGATTTATTTATTTGAAAGGAAGAGTTACCACTGAGAGGTAGAGAGGTAGACAAGCAGAGAGAGAGAGAGAGCTCAAGACACAGGGCGGGGTGGGGTGGGGGTGGAGGGGCCTTCCATCCCCAAATGGCTGCAACAGCTGGAGCTGCACTGATCCAAAGCCAGGAACCCAGGAGCTTCTGGGTCTCCCAGGCCATAGCAGAGAGTTGGATCGGAAGTGGAGCAGCCAGGACTCGAACTGGCACCATATGGGGTACTGGCACTGCAGGCAGCTTTACCCACTACACTACAGTGCTGGCCCAAAAACAAGTTTAGAAGTACAGTTTCTACATAAAACAGGTAATAAGCGTTACTATACTTGCCAAAGGAGGAAAAGAAAATGCACAAATCACAGATGAGGGAGTTATTTTTTTTGGTGTAGAGGCGGGTGATAGACTTCGCAGACATTTAGTATGAGAATTAGACATACTTCATACTTTCAGAATTAGCCACTGTGGCAGCTTTCTTAATTTTTGTAATTGTACAGCATTATACACTCCTTAAAAATCTCTAAAACTCGGGTCTTTGATTAAGCATTCCTAACTCCCTCCTCCACTGCCTCTTCTAACAATGCTGTATGATCAGAGTAGATAGTGGTAATCCACAAAGCATTTGAGTCTCTCTTATTTGATAAATTTCAAGTTTCTCCAATAATCTCCTGAGGAATTCTCAGGACAGGCTGAAATACTTCAGAGCTTTCCTTATCATCTCATGTTCAGAGCTGTATATTCGTTAGTGCAAGATTTCTCTAATGGTAATTAAGTAGCTCATGGCTATTCTCTAGTCAAATTATACTTAAAAATAAAATAGTGACATAGTCATTCATCTTAATAGCTAAATGAAG